TCTCTCTCTCTCTCCCTCTCTATCTCTCTCTCTCTCTGTATAAATTCTATATACAAAGAGAGAGAGAGAGAGAGAGAGAGAGATAAACTACATATATTGTACATGTACATGTTAAGTATCAGGCTTTAGACAGCACGTCGGCAGAACGTACTGCCGCCTGCGTGAAACCAGTAATGTATTGTGCATAGCACTTCAGCAGAACGTCTCATAAGGTCACATTTGTACATATCGATGGTAAACATCCCGTCTATAGTTTCCAAATGTTGTGTTGGAAAAGATATCGTTTGCAACAGGTAAAATTCTGATGCAATGTTGACCAAACATCCATCGCAAAACCGTAAAAAGTCAGGGTTTTGCGCAGGTGCAGTACGTTCTGCCGACGTGCTACTTTAGACATAGTAGACAGTGCTATTTTATCATTGATACTTTCTGTATCGGTATAGCCGGAAAAACCGCCCTTCGGCGTAACACACCAGCTTCGCAGGCACGCGGCGCGGCGGCAGCTAGTTATATCACACCGAAAGGCTTGTTACATGTACACTCAACCTTTGCACATTTGATTGCAGGAGTTGTTTAAAGCTTTCTAGTGATGATGCCCCAACTTTTATTTATTTATTTATTCATCTTAAGGACGTATGGGTTGTCCCTTCAGCCCCAAGGGGCTGATTTCCAAGGGAGCCCAATTACAATGACAAATAACATATAAAATACAAAAAGTAATATAACATAAATAAATTAACATAAATTATATAAGAATACAATAATAATCGATGGTCATTATAGAGGTCAGAGGTCAAAATTCCAACTTAGGAAATAATAAAACATATGATAACTGAGAGGTCAAAATTCAAACTTAGGAAATAATAAAACATATGATAATAACTGAACGTAGAAGTAATGAATCATATAAACAAATCAATCAAAGTAATGAAACGTAACAAATCATCGTTGTCAGTAAATCGTCATTAGGTAATCAGGTGTCAGATCGGTTCAGTTTTCAACCTGTCTTTAAAAGCTTTAAGTGTGGGTGCTAGTCTCAAGTTACAGTTTAGTGAGTTATAAGTTACTGTTGCTCTGTATGCAAAGGTGCGTTGACCTGCTTTTGATGTGTAGTTGGGTCTGTGTAGGAGATGTGATTGTCTAGTGTGATAATTATGGATCTGGTTATTATAATTAAACGTGTTGAGTAGATAACTTGGGGCTAATCCATGGAGACATTTGTACACCATGACACAGACATGGCGTGTTCTTCGGACTTGCAGTTGACTCCATCCAAGTGCCTGGTGCAGTTCCCCCATTAGACCTCGCGTCGCTTCGTAGGACGATTCTAGCAGCCCTGTTCTGCAAAACTTGTAGTCGCTGCTTGTAGGTTGTACTACAGTTGTCCCACACAACATCGCAGTATTCAAGTAGTGGTAGAGCAAAGGTTTTATACAACATATTGGCAACATTAGTACAGAGATAAGGCCCAACTGTGCTTGGTGGCAACGAGTTCCAGTCTACGATAGTTCTGGGGAAATACGAGTTTTGAATACCTCAATTCTTGGTTGATAACTCTGATATTTGAAGGCATGGCTATTTCTTGTTCTTTTCTGGGCTGGATCCTTTGCGCAAACTTCACACATTGCTACAGGATACTTTCATACTTACAAAGATTTTAGTATGATTTTACTACTAGAAGAATGTGGCTGTATTCAGGTGATAACTTATAAGGCTTAATTCCACCCTCAGGTATCTGGAGAAATCTACTCTCTGAGCTAAAAGAATACCTTGTTCAATGCAGTTCAATGTATGATATTTACATTCTGCCAGAGTTGACTGAAAACTGAAATCACCCACTTCTCAATAATGACACCTAGTGAAGAGACTAATAATTGCAGGGCTTGTGACGTCACAGAAGCTAGATCCTTTGCCTTGTAAGCCCCCTGACAGCTCCATTGTGTCTGGTACGTGCGTGCGCTCAGGTGTCCCGACAAGGAAATGGGGTTGGTAAAAACAAGACACTGCTGATCGTCAACCGCGTCTGGTAAAATGTTGTTTTACACCGGACCTGTGCTTTTGCTGCTCGTTCTGGGAGGTTCTACAGTCGGTAAGATTAATATTATAATTCTCTTTTTCTACTACAACAGAAGGGTGGTCTGTAGTGAACTCTTGTTTCTGTACCGCCTTGCCACTGTTGTTGTTAGAGGAAGTGACCTGCTAGCCAAATATGCCTGCCTTCCTTTTCACTACAGTGCATACATGTTGACCTTTTAAATGTCCAGATTTTTGCCCAAAACACCCATGCCCTACATTTGGTAACAGAAGTTGTGTAAGTTGACCTACCGTTTGAGTAATTTACCTGGTCTACCAAATGTTATACACACCTTCCCTTGAGCACGACAGCTCCAAATGTAATTATGCAGCTAGTGCCTTACAAAGGAACCCGAACATCTAGTGACACAACAATCTGTTGACACATTCAAGACGGGGTTGGCCCTGCACCTGGGCCACCCCGTCTCACAGAATGTAAGTCGGGTATTGCTAGTTGCGGCCATGCACAAAACGAACAAATTTATATTTGTTTTCAGTACATTTTTTATTCACCACACCCCACCGGCCGCAATAGCTGTGCACCCTGGGCGGGATGCCCTAGTCAGGGTTTTGCCCAGTATCATATAGAATAGAATAGAAAAGACTGGATATTGACAATACAGTTTGACAATCATAGAATAAACATGGTACGCTTTGTTCGATCTTTGTTCTGTCAATAGTAATGCGATCGCGCAAGTGCTTTACAAAATTTAACACCGTTTCTGTTTTGTGCATGTGGAGTATTGTTACCATTGTCAAATCCAAGCCCCCATAGCAGTCACTCTGCAGTCGCTTGAAAAACAACCAGCCGAAGACGGTGCCAACAAGGAAGTTAGACACCTTCTAATATTGAACGTCAGTAACTTCCTTGTTGATTCTATCCCTCTTGGTGCCACCAATCATAAAACAGCTCCTCAGAATCATTATTATGTTTACCGAAGGAAAACATATTGTTTTGCTCAATTTCTTCTTCTTCTACAAACAGTGACCTATGATCATGACCTGATCAATGACATGATTTGTTGACGTCTGTCACCATGGTGACTGGTGTTGGGTTACATAATGTTGCAATTTCAGGGTCTGCTCTGCTCCAATTTCCTAAATCATTGTCTGCTCCAATGATTTAGGAAATTCCAATGCGCCAACCTGTGATTGCTACGTACATGTAGGGTAAACGAAACTCGTTTTAACAGATCCCTTTAATCTTTTCCCACTATTAACTTACGTTAGACAGGAACTAAATCAAGTATCTACATACAGTACACGTTTATTTCAGAAAAAGGTTGTTACCCAGGTTTGTTTGTGCATAATAGAGAGTCAGGTAGTACCCTGGTACCTAAAACTAATAAAAGTTTAATTTTTTTTGCAAAAATAGACATTATAAAGGCATTGACCCTACTAAACAATCTCGTTAGTTATAAATTATGTTGATGAACAGTAAGGTTTTGTCTTTTGACAGCACCCAAACGTAACATAGCTGTTGTCTAACATATCTATTGTCACAGTAAAAAGGTCAACTGTGACAGGTTTATCAATAACATCTTTGATGTAAAAATACCACACTTATTGGACGGTTTTAATCAAATTTAGATGAAAAACTGTGCATATTTAAGGAAACTGTGCAATATTGCATGTCCTGATGTATTGTATAATGTTATATGTCTAATGTCTCCCTGCATGTTCGGTCAGTTATGGCCGACGTGACATGGGTTCAATGTTCCTTTCTTTTATTTGTAAATAAAGAATGATTTTACTACAAGGTCTGTCTACTTCTATTACTAGTACTCATGTAGTTGTAATCTTTTGGCAGAGTCCCTCCCTGAACAGACGTGTTTGCAGTACGCAGAAGATGGAAACTGTGACTTCTACACGGGATGTTTGGAAGCTAAATACAGCTGTGGAGCCAAGGGCTACCCTGTCGGCTACGGGCATCGATACTGTACCAGGTTCAGCACATACTACAACGAATTCAATGATGAGGTAAATTGTATAACACGTATATGTCTCAGAATGGCATAACATATCATGAACACTAACGTTTGATAACCTAGGCAAAAATTGTTGTGCTTCCTGTTTTAGTCCTGAAAAAATTAGGGTCGGTAGGTAGGGATTACCATTTTTTGGTAATCCCTACCTAATTGGCAATGTCTAGTGATCCAACTCATACCAAGGAACTCCTTGCTTAATATATAAAAATACAATACATCTTAACAAAGTAAAACTTGCATGAGGACACTTTTTCAAAGTCAATGTTGGAAAACTGAGTATATACAATGTTTCATCACTCAGGTGTCAGATCATGCAGCTGGAAAAGGTCAATCAGCTTGCAAAATTTATGTTCCTTGCTAGGGTCCGAAGTTTTTTTCTAGGGTCGGTCGGGAAACAGGAAATTCCACATTTTTTTCTTAGGCCTAAGGGATTTTTGGCAGCTTTTGAAGGACTTGTACATCTCACAGGCCTTTTTTGTCACTTGTGCACAGCCGCGTCCAAAAAAAAGCACAACCCGTAACAGGGCTGGAAATACTGGGTGCATGTACACCTTAGTGCACCCAAATGTGGAGCTGTGGACACAAATTTTTCTGTGGGTGCACCAGTGCAGGTTTAATGTATGTAAAGATGTTAAATGTCTAGTAGTTACAGCATATTCTTAACATCTAAGTGTAAGAAAAAATAATACAATGATTCATTGTTACAGTACGTTTCTTGAAATCAAACATAATTATACTTTTTGCTGACATTCTACTTGTTTTATTTTATATGGTGCAAATATTTCTGTAGGTATTTTTGTACATATCAACTGTATAATAGTAAGTGTAAGAAAATAATAAAATCTTTGTTGAAGTACTTGTTTAAGATTTTAAAGTTAGCTCCCATTTTAGATTCAAGCTCAAAAGAGGAGTAATAAGATCAGTGTAATTAGGTTTTGTTTCATATGGTGCACCCAAAAAAATTTTGGGCACCTAATATTTTAGATTGGGTGCACCAGTGCACCTATTCCCAAAAATGAATTTCGAGCCCTGCGTAAGAATCTTCTAAAAGTTTGACTTGTACTGACCTTTTTAATTGTATCACAAGTAGAAACGGTGTGTCAGTAGTAACGGTTACAAGATGATCATGTATCATTTTGCCCATGTTTGAATTATTTCGATAACAATTCCTTATGTATGTATGTATTATTTCAATTCATTTATGTTTAAATTTTGGTTAGTATAGAGGAGGAGGGCTTAGCATAAGCTAAATAAGCTTTTTCCCTCCTCCAGCACCGGTTTTATTTATTATTATTAGTGTATTATGTATATTTGCACAACAGCAATAGTTTATTGCTGTTGTGCAAATAAACAAACAAAATATGTTACAGGGGAAAGCATGGATAGACGATGTGCGCAGATGTCTCATGAACGCACTGGTGCCCATATACAAGTCCAACTCCTACAGCTGTGATGAAGTAAAGACCCTGGCCTTTACCTCTCACCCAACCTGCTACACAGAGAGCGGTGACAGGTTCTGTAAGGTCGAGATCTTCTGGTCCAACAGACTAGCACTGCTGGAGGTGTTCGAAGCTGATGACTTTTTGGGTGAAGACAGTGCCTTGGCCATAGAACAAGTGAGAACAGTCAAACAATGCTTTTACAGTGAATAAAGAACAGACAGCAGATCTAGAGTACTAAGTTAACCCTTGTCCTGCTGGACTTTTTTACACATTATTTTCAAACTATTTGAAGTCAAAATCAGGCCACAGACCCTTTACTTTTTTTGCCCTGCGACGGCATAGTTACTTCCGCATTCGTTGCGTTTCGCTGCGGTGTGATGCGTTGCACAAGAAACACCCCCAAATCGTACATATACAGGGCACTATATAGATGGTACTGTATGTGCAACCCATATATATATGGGCCCCGCAGGACAAGGTTTTTTAAACATGACTTTTCCTTTTTGGTCAATGATTCTACTTTCAGCTGATACTGCTCTTAACGATAAGAGTAAGTTACATAGACTTACACAAATTTGTTTTTGCTGTTTTAACTCTTTTCAACCACAGGGAGTTGGGAGCCTTCAAAATGTATTTTTAAAGGCATCCAATGCGATTTCATGGCAGCAAAAATGGAAGTTTTTAGAATAAGGCAATCTTTGTCATATTCACACATACTGCTTCACATTAGCACGTTTGAGTCAGTTTGTCATACCTTGGGCTTTTAAAACTGCAGAAACAAGCCCCAAGATGAGCCCAGTATTTTCTGGGAGGTACCCCAAGAATCAGCCAAGGGCCCTTCCAGTAACCATATTTTCCGTCAGAATTTCGGGAATTTTTGCTCCAAGAGGGTCATGTGGTTTCAACTTTATGTAGATAAACAACTAGAAAATTGACTTTGAAAAACCGGGTTTCCAAGCCCTAAAAACTGCACTGGGTGCCTTTAATGGTAAAAAAATACAGAAATACATGTACATGTAGGCGACTTAGGTCAGTGTAAAGAGATTAGAAGCTGAAAAATGTCGTCTGCTACAAGGACAAGGGCTAAACTTTCTGAATTTCATGTGAAATTGCCAGATCCTGATGACAGGACTGCAGTGCTTGTGTGACTACGGGGTTGCTGATGAGATGCACAGACTTGTGGACGCGACCAGCGATGTCTGGACCAAAGTCTTGGATTTCACAACTCAACTTTGGCGGGATGGTCCAGTTGAAGGTATTTTTCTTTTTTCACTAAAGTCACTAAAGTTTCCATCACGATGTCTCAGCTTGTCTATTCTTTACAGATTTGCAGTGATGACAGAGCAGGTCAACATCAAAGTAAACAAGTAAAATATGAGATTTTATACCTCCGGGCTTTTTATTGTATATTTTTATATGTTGTTTGTTATGTATAGTTGGTGGTGTAGGGCTAGGGTTTTAAACAAAGAATTTATCGAGACCGGACACCCCTCTGTGCGAGGGGTCATATACATGGACCAGACCGAGAATAGCTTAAACACGCCAAAGGTCAACGGTCGCGACCATTTTCACGCTCAATGGGGTGTTCTGGGACCACCAAAAGGCACCATTTTTACGCTCGAAAACACATATACAATAAAAACAAAAGAACGTGCATCATCTGCAGCCCAATATCAAAACATACACCGAGTCTCAATAGAATCCGTTCACCCAAACGCGAGAAACAGCTGCGAACATGAAAATCTAAATCTCTCACAAAACCCCTCCCCCGGAGGTAATGAAATGAAAAAAAAACTGCTATAAGCATTTCCCTGTATGTAATATTCCATTTGAGGAGTAGTGATGCTGGGCCGGAAAAAGACTGTTGAACAGATTATATATTCATGTTAGGATTAAACTACATATTGACTGATGATTGACCATGCATTGCAAATAAAGGTCAGACATAAGAAATCCGCTTGGCAATAGATTACGTATACATCTTTTACACCGTTACATCTTTTACGGTAGAGTAGATTTGTGCAGTTGGTGCCATATGATATGTTGTTAGCCTGGGTACCATCCCCAGTAGTATAACTGTTATAGAGCGAGCGAATACTACCGGGGATGGTACCCAGGCTAATATGTTGTATCATGTAACATGTTAACTGTTATCATTTGATACTAACAGCTTGGACACTATCATATACTAGTGTACAAATGTATGTTACAATCATGGCAAAAGCTGTTTAATTCTGATACAACTGCACTTTGACCAAGGTGTAGGCTCACCGTTTTTACAATATTTTCCAGCCATCCAGGCTGACTGTGAGGACAAGGCTCTACAGGGAGACTGTGACTTCTACACCTGTCTGGAGCGGCGCCACCCGTGTGGACTGAAGGGGTTCGCCTTAAGGGAGGGTCGGACATTGTGTGAGGCTCTCAAGAAGAAGAAAGGACTGTTTAACGCTCAGGTGATGCTATGATATAACATAACATAACACAACCAGAATTGATGTCTAACAGGCTTTCAATTAATTACCATGATATGAGTCTAATACAATTATAATGTTTAAAGTTAAAACATTTGTTCCGACAGAAGGGACTGTTCTCACCTAGATCTTTTGACCAGTCACTCTGGCCTTCTTCAATTAACTGACCCAGTGAGACTTGTCACATGGCTTCTCTGACTTGTGACGTCAGCACTCGGTCAAAGGTATCTGGTAGACAATGTCGGCCCCCGTCACAGTTGAATGATGGGTGATGGACCCTGATGTAAATAGCCTCCTTCACTCCTCCTGAGTCTCAGTCTATTGAAGAAGACTAGAGTGACTGATTGAAACCTCTAGGCAAGAATTTGCTCTTCTAGCTCTTGTGTTAACTTAAAAACACGTAACTACCAACACATATCAAATTTGATAATACATGTAACATTGTGTTCTCACGTTCCAGGGCCAGGCATGGGTAACAGAATTCACCAAGTGTCTGACACGTTCACTGCTCCCGAAGTACAGAGAAGAGTCAATCTCCTGCAGGCACATCCACAACTTTGGCTACCGGGCACAGGACAGCTGCTTCATAGACACTGGGATATGTGATCTTGTGGAGGACAACCAGGTATCTTGACATATGGACAGAATATAGACATACGTCAGGCAGACATATTACATACGTGTACATGCCTTGTCAAACATCTATTTCCAAACATTATTAGTCATGATGCAACCTAGGCTGTGTATGCCTAGAAAGAAGCCTCCATTCCTATTATTTGATAATATACAGTCCTAATTAGTGCTGCATACTGGTTCACTGGACTTGGATCCGGACTTGTAAGAATGTTTAGGAGTCCAAAAAAACCTAAAAGTCAAGAACCGAGTCCGGACTTATTACCATAAAAGACCATTTCACATACACCTTTTTTCCAAACCACCTACATTTGTAAAACCTTCCGTAGATTGCAAAATCTTTGCTGCAAAATGAAGAAAACATTGCCATTGGGCATCGTCAAGTGTTGGCCTCCATGTTATGTGACCAAAGTTTCACCCAGACAACATTACAAGGTTGCCAACATGCAATTTTGTATATGCCATGGGTTTAGGTCTGGACTTACAAGTCCGGAACTGAACCTAAACCTCTGGACTTGAATCCGGACCTGAACCTAAATGTGGGTTTAAGGTATGCAGCACTAGTCCTAATGCCATAAGCATTGTTAATTAAGTAAAAAGCTGCACATCTTTTTTATGATTGGCAAATAATCCACAAGTGTACAAATGATGTGTTTTGGTGGTTTATTTCTGGTGGTTATAAGTCACTGGCAAGGCATTATGTTAGCATAACTACTGAGAGAAAAGTTGGTTGTATTGATATGAACTAGAATGTTGTTCTTTTGGGCTTATTCACACTTGGAGAACACGTCTAATTTCAGAACGAGTTTGCTCTCTGGTACATCTCCAATGATGTTGAAGACAGCCGGTTCCAGCTAGAGCTGTCCACCATCCTGTGCCGCTGTAACAAGTATGAGGGAGGGAGTCGCTACAGACTCAAGTACAGCAGCGAGCTTGGCATCCACTTAAAGCAAAAAGCACCAGGTGAGATACAGTGTTAAGTACCCGGTAACATATTTTACATCATAGGCTTTCTACAATCATTAATGATCTTTCGCTTCCCAATGTAGCATAATTATGCTGCTTATCTGTATCTGTATAGCCGGTATAACCGCCCTTCGGCGTAACACACCAGCTTCGCAGGCACGCGGCGCGGCGGCAGCTAGCTATATCACACCTAACGACTTGTTACACTCAATCTTTGCACAGTTGATGGAAGGAGTTGTTTAAAGCTTTCTAGTGATGATGTCCTAACTGACTGTGCTTGGTGGCAACGAGTTCCAGTCTACGATAGTTCTGGGGAAATATGAGTTTTTGAATATACCTCTTGGTTGATAACTCTGATATTTGAAGGCATGACTGTTTCTTGTTCTTTTCTGGGCTGGTATCAGCTGTATCTGTATCGGTATAGCCATCTTTAAGTCACAATGTTGGTTTAGATATCAGGGACATTGCATGGATAGAGAAACATCTTGGCCTTCTTACATTCAGGACCCTCCGCAATCTTGCCCCCGAACACCAGCCAACCATGGCTGAACCTTCCAACCACCGCTGAATGTTTTAAGCATTCTGAAACATTTGGCTGGTGCAACCAAATAGTAGCCAACCTCGCCAAATACTAGTGTAACAGTGGCTTATGGGGGTTTATAGTCTGCCTGTGGACTGGTGCCCGGGACCAGTGGGTTTTTATCTGTTTCAACTCGCTCCCTCCTGTTTCTTACAGTGGTTCCCACACCGGTCCTGGGAGTTCTGGCAAAGAGTGCCGCTCCAGGGATGTCGAATTTGGAAGATTCGAGGACGAATCTTGAAAAGAAAAGGGGGAGTAATGTAACGGTGTGTGTGTGTGTGTGTGGGGGGGGGTTATAGTCGCTACCAACTGATCCGTCTGACGGGTCTAGACCTTTTCGGCCGGGTCAGTTGGTAACGCCTATAAACCCCCCACTGTTACACTCGCTGACCCAGCCAACTTTGTTCCCGACCTACTGGTACTCCTAACCATGCTTGGATGTAGTTCGGCCAGTGTTCAGGTGGCCATATTCATTAAAGTAATGTATGACACTCTGGGCTTAAAGTGATTTCCTCTTGCAGTTGTGGACCAGTCGTCTCCCGCAGACCTACCGTGCACCAGTCAGGGTGGAACATGCCAGGACTACACCGTAAGAACGTGTCTGGCAGGGTACGAGACAAACAAGTGCGGCGGCAACGCCTTACGGAGGTGCTGTCTTCAGTGTGACTCTACATGTAAGTCCTTGTCCATTTTGATTTACATGTATGTGGTTGCATGAAAACGTACCATCAGGGCTATCCAACTAACCTATTATTACAAAGGGTTAGCCCTCATGGGCAACATAGTCACCGTATGTTGTGAATGAATTTAATTTTGAAATTTGCATCTTGGACAGTTTGACATACATACTTCAATGAACACTTTTGACAAATAATGATCTCTCTAATCTTCAATCCTCAGGTCAGTCCAACCACCAGACATGGTCAGCTGGAGACAGCAGCTGTTCTAACGCCGGTGGACAGTGTAAGATGGACAGTAACTTCTGCCATGGTCAGTACAGGACTGGGATGTGTGGAGGACCTGCTGGTAGAACGTGCTGTGTTCCAGGTAAAAATAAGACATGTTTTTTCCTGACTATATTGAGCAACGAAAAGAATAACAACAAGAATTCGGAGATCTCATACCTCCATGAAATATATGAGTTTTTCTTAATGTTTTTACACAGTACACTACAGTACAGAACAAAATAACACAGGTTTTTGTTTTCAAACATACAGTAGCATCTTTGGCCTGAAATAGGCTGTAATAGATATGGTCAACATCTGGTCCATTCCAGAGGGAGAACCTCATTAATCAAACCGGGCAGGCCCCGCTGCCTCCACTCCGCACATATGTTTTCCCTGATACAAAAGATACAAAAACCGGAAGTTCTGCTGTAGTACCAGCTACCAGGAGGCCCATATTTGACCTTGACCTTTGGCTTCCTAAGACCTACTAGCATACCAAATATCATTACAATCCATAAAGGCGTTCTGAAGTTATGCCGACTACAAATGTGCGGAAACACACACACGCACACACACACACACACGCACACACACATACATACATACATACACACACACACAGACGCGCCAAAAACAATACCTCCATTTTTCATGGAGGTAATAAAGTAATGAGTAGATTGGATTTAATGTCAATCCCAAGCAGTGCAATCATAACACAACTTAATATTCAGCTTTAGTTACTTGAGAATCTCTTATCCAGGACAGATTGTGATGCCAGCACATAGAGTCATATGTTGTGAGATGGTAGACATTAAGCAGGGACAACAACGACTACTGTGACATGTACATGTATAATTTATGTAAACAGTCTCTGACTCATTGATACATGGTAAATTGTTATACCTACATCTGGTGCCTGAATGAAAGTTACTGTATTCCCATGGACAGGTCCTGGCGGGAGTTCTTCAGGATCAGGTGAGTTTAAGAGAACATTTGAACTTGGTAGTAAGATGTATAGCAGGTATATTTATTCAGGACCTAACTTGCATTTGATACAATAATACCGTGCATTTATCTCAAATGCCAATTGTAGTGCACTATGTATGGACAAGTTTGACCCTTAATGTTTTCTGCATGTAAACTGCATAATGTTAGGGCATTGGATGTTTGTAATGTGTGTTGTTCTTTTTCTGATGAAGGTAAATAAGAAGCAATGTATCTTACATATGCCATTGAAATGGTCCTCCTTTGAAAGGTTTTCTTTTTATAACAGGGGATTCTGGTTCAACAGGATCTGGCCATGGTAAGATGTTTGTTCAACAACAAATATATTCACTGATATTATGAGTTATTCAATCCATAGCATTATTGCCATTTCGCAATGAGACATTTTTCCCCTTCTTTCAAAGTATAAACCAAATCACGGATTTAACATACGTACAATGTACATGTATTTCTACACCATTCTTTAGGAAACTATGGTAACATCATGAATGTGGACACAACTGGAGCCTCAGAGACAACTGCAAGACAGGATGAAAATGCAAAACACTTGATCGGTAAGGTCTTTTGATCTCAAATTTAGATCAAAGAAAACAAATTTTATCATATAGTATTATTGTGGCATGGACAAAGGCCAATACTTCAACATGAAACCAACTTATTGTATTTCACATTCAGGTGTTCCAGCATCTCAACAGTTGGCAAGAAACGACCTGTCCCGTTTAAACAACTACAAGTCACAGATAGAGGAAGTCGCTACAGACAAGAACATGGACCCTGCCATTATCGCGGCCATCATCAGTCGCGAGTCACGGGCAGGGAACGTGCTGGATGCCAACGGATGGGGAGACGAGGGCAATGGCTTTGGCCTTATGCAGGTATTCCTCAAAATAATAGATTAAGCAAAAAAGTCAATTTTGTACACAAGACTTCGCTGAGATAGCCTGACTACATGTAAACCTCACTTTTTGCCAGATTCCTGATAGTCTGCCACCAAAAAACTCTTTGACTGGAAAAAAAACCTGTGTACACAGGCTAATGCTGGGATATGTTGTCATACTTGGTCCTTGATAACGTTCAATCTTAGTATCTCACTTATTGAAGAGTATGATACAGTTGTAGTTATATGTTATACCTTTAATCTGATCTGTTTTATAACTGTGACTAATTTCTTAGGTTGACAAACGTTACCACACTCCAGTCGGTGAATTTGACAGCACAGAGCACATGAAACAAGGCACCCAGATTCTTATCGACACCATCAACTGTGTGAAAAACAGGCATTCTGATTGGACAGCTGAAATGGCCCTCAAAGGTATGATCCTTATACCTCTCTCAGACAACATGCACAATTTAGATATCCTGTTGTGACTGCCAATTCATCGCATCTATTGTTTCAGTGATCAAGTTGGTTTAAAATTATGCTTGTATCTTTAAGCATATTGCAAGAAATATTATGCAAACTGTACCTGGTCTTTAATGCATCATTGTAATGACTTCAGAGTATAAACATGTACATTGTACATGTATGGCATAGACAATAAAGTGCTCAGTGTAGCATAGTCTTCTGTGTACATATATACATGTATAACTGTTTGCATGCTCAGTGTTACTAAACATATTTTCGTGCAGGTGGCATTTCTGGATACAACGCGGGTTGTGACAACGTGCAGACATACGAAGGCATGGATGTAGGTACCACATTCGATGACTATGCCAACGATGTTGTAGCAAGAGCTCAGTGGCTCAGAGGCCAAGGCTTTGGTCAAGGCACAGCAGGTATGTTGCGTAGCATTTGATGTTTATAATATTCATCAACAGAGAGAGAATAGTATAGTTTGACCTCTAAAGTCATGTTTATTTATTGTTCAAGTATGTAAGATATTGGAATATTTTTCAGTTACCTCACCATGTTCTTTCAGTCTAATGAGACTTGGCAGTCTAACTGAGACTATTCTTGTTGCATTTGCTTTTTAATTTTTCATGTCTAGACCCTTTTTTTCAGATCTGTGTTGGTCACCTGGATGATGAAATAATGCAAACAGACAATGATGGTAAAATGACTTCTCTCTTGCAGATTCGTCTTGCACAGTTCGCCCTTACAGCAATACCAGGTTTGTGGGCGACCCAATTCATGTAGAAGATGGCTTCAGGGGCTCCATGGACACGATTAATACAGCAGCTGCAGAATGCAATGTCAAGGTCTGGTGCAACTTGCTGATATATAATATATATCAATGGTTTATTGTGGCGACTTAAAACAACCATACTGCGTGATGTCCCGACCAGGGAATTTGCAGATTATTGAACTTGAACTTGGACAGTGGCAGCTTTTTAGCTGAATTATAGTATGGCATTACAAGGATGATAATATTTGCACTTAATGTACGCTATTAATACTTACACAATACAACTTAAAATGCCTTACGATAGACCTGCACATATCAAAACCATTTCATTAACATGTTAAGACGTATGTATACATCAATCGTGTCGTGTTTCATTAAGTACAAAATGTAGGTCAACCAGGAAAGGCAGTGTAGTCTTGCGATACCTCCCAGTTCTACATTTGAACTGTGTTGCATTATGTTTTGATCTAAGGTTCCTGCCATGTAGGCTTACACGGTTCGGGGGCAGCCATGTCGAAAAAGTTGTAGAACTCAGTAGTGACGTAGCAATCTTGTAACATAGCTCATGTCGTCTCTTGTTATACGAGTCTCTTGAGATACGAGTGACAGTTGATTCATTACACACATTAGTTGATATCAATTACACCGATCGAAGAAGCATAATGTAGAATAAATCAGGTGCCTAATACGCATTATGTAATTTCATAACTTTACATTCGATAGTGTACTGTTATGATCAACAATCCTCTAAAATGAGTAATTCTCAATAATTTGAACTAAAATTGTTCTGTTTTGCTGGTTATTTTCAAAATAAATCATGAAAAAACTGTGAAATATGTGTTGGTCAGATCAAACTTAATGCTGGCATTTTTTACAATTTTTTTGTTGACATTGACAAAAATGAATACATCTAATATAGAAGCACCTTTTTTCACGCAGGTATACATAACCCACTCGTGGCGGAAGGTTGGAGAGATTATTCCTGGAGCGATTGTCACACCAGCCAGTCGGAGCAACCATTTTGTTGGTCACGCCATCGACATGAACGTCCAGCGTCCAGATGAATCTCTGTGCAACAGCTCGTGCTTGAGAGGTACTTCATTGCAAGTTGCATTGGCGTGTACGCACAAACATACACAGTGACTTAGAGAGATCTAGAGAGAGAGAGAGAGAGAGAGAGAGAGAGATCTAGAGAGATAGAGAGAGATGTAACACACTTAATAAACAAAAAGCAACGCGGCACTGCCACTGTAACAGTAGTTGTGCAAAAATATTATATTTAATTGCAAAAAGTGCATGCAGAATGTGTTTTAATTCAAAGCCCATTTTGAAGACAAAAACGAATGAGAAACATTTGTTGGTCAGTTTTGTTCACTCTTGTTACAAATTGTCTTCAAGTTTATATGATATTTTCCAGGCCAGAGTGACAGTGACGCTACCTGCTTCATTGGTAAAGTCCGAGCAGCTGGCCTGACATGGGGAGGGGTGTGGAGCACACCAGACCCTGTCCACATTGACGATCGTCTGAACCAGAACACTGCAGTGTACGACACCATGGTAGACAGGCTTCAGAGAGCATGTCAGCACATCCCAATGACCTAACATCCTGACATAATACTGTAAATGGCCATCCCAAGATGTAAGATTAAGTTGGTCTCTTTAAGATAGTTTGTTTCTTTGTTCTTGTTATCTTGAAGTTTACACTTAAGAATGACGCAGTAAGAGAAACAGTAAAGTACATGTATTGGCAAACACATTGATATGCAGCAAACTATACACCATAGTGGAAAAAATTTTAAGGATACAGTGTATGCACTTAATATCTGTTTCACTAACATGACACAACATGTCATACCTAATTGTGTACATATTAAGATTTTACTATTAGTATTTCTTGAAGAAGAGCTGGTATGTTTTTATTTCTATCTGTTCCTGTTGAGACGATATAGTTCATTTGCAGTATCTAAGAATGCAAAGATGGCATACATAAAGGCTCTAGCCTGTTCTTGATTAATGTCAACTTGTTTTCTGATAGCTGATATTATGTAGTCTACAGTACAACAATAATCATGTGATATTTGGTGTCAGCTGAAGAGCTTCCTATATGGGCACGCCCATGCAAACCTTTTGAACAATGATGGAAAATGTTAAGGGTTAAAGGTAACTTGCTTGGTGTACAGCCCACTGGACCTGTTTTCCTTCTAGCTGCCATTTTGTTAACTGGTGTAATTAATTCAGTATAAGGTTATCATAAACATGCTTTAGATGAAATGAATGTTTTGTCTTGTCTATATCAAACACACAGTCACTGTATGGAAAAACTTCTATTTACAAATCAAAGTAACTAGGTAAATTGGTTTTAGAATCAGTTCCTTTTGTGAAATAGCATCATGTTGAGCGCGTTCGACTACTTGTACAGTAAGTATGTTCAATGAATGGTCCTTGCTGAAGGAGTCATCTATGCCCAAAGCAATCTCTGTTGTCACAAATTCAGTCATGGAGATGTTTCCTCCCAGGAGCCATTACTGTCAAAGTCCTTCAGAATTAGTTGATCACCAGAAGGTCGCCTAAATTTAAAAGTCGTCTGAGTTAAAAAAAAAACTTCCCTGCCACATCGGATGGGTATCAGTGACCTGCAAATATATGCCAATCACCTAATCTATGTTTGTTAGCACACCAAGCCACCAGCTAACCCACAGGGTCATCCTATACACAAAAGAGTGTCTGTTATAATATCAATGGTACTATAGGTCACACAGACAACTCTTTGCCTCAGGGGCTTCCTTTACCGAGCCTGTTGAAAGAATAAAATTCCCCCTAGAGTTGAACAAGGCGGTTCCCCCGCTGATAATACAGAGTGACGGTAGTGTTTTCGTGAGAGTTAAGCCAACTGATCTCTATCTTTTCCTCTCTCTCTCTCTCTCTCTCTCGCTCTCTCTCTTCCTCCCTCTCCCTTCTTTCTCCTTCCCTCTCTCCCTCACTCTCTACCTCTCCCTCCCCCCTCTCTCGCCCAAAAATCACCCGATGAGTCATACAGTAACATGTAACGCCTACCTCCAGGCACTTCCTTTACTGAGAAAAAATAACCAACAAACTTTCCCTTCCGTCATTAATGATAGCTTCAGGCAGTTCCTTAAACGAGAAAATTACGTTGTTTTGATACATTACAAATGTACTAGCTTTTGATGTCTTTGTCCAGATTTGAACCGGAGAAGATATTGGAAAATCTAGCTAGATGGAAAATGATGAACCTGTATAAGATTTACGACCTCCACTGCATTGTTGATTATGCTGAATGGGCAAGCTGGTTATCTACTTCGTACTGCCATGAACAAATTGCACATGTAGGCCTGTGTTATCCCTCTATCCTTTATTCAATCATCAAAAGCCTCATGCACATATTAGACACCAGCTGACCTACAGAATCATCACTACACAAAAGAGTGTCTGTAATTATATAGTACTGTAGGTCACACAGACAACTCTTTGCCCCAGGGTCTTCCTTTACCGAGAAAAACTGAGCCTGTTGAAAGAACAAAATTTCCCCTAGAGTTGAACAAGGCGGTTCCCTCGCTGATAATACAGAGTGACGGTAGTGTTTTCGTGAGAGTTAAGCCAACTGTTCTCTTTCTTTTCCTCTCTCTCTCTCTCTTTCTCTTCCTCCCTCTCCCTCCCTTTCTCCTTCCCTCTCTCCCTCACTCTCTACTTCTCTCTCTCGCCCAAAAATCATCCAATGAGTCATACAGTAATATGTAACGCCTACCTCCAGGCACTTCCTTTACTGAGAAAAAACACCTGCAAACTTTCCCTTGCGTCATTATGATAGCTTCAGACAGTTCCTTAAACGAGAAAATTGATTTGTTTTGATACATTAGTAGCTTTTCATGTTTTTGTCCAGATTTGAACCGGAGAAGATATTGGAAAATCTAGGTTGATAGAAAATGATAAGATTTACCTCCTCCACTGCATTGTACGAGTAGATTATGCTGAAATAGTGGGCAAGCTGGTTATCTACTTCGTACTACCATGAACAAATTACACATGTAGGCCTGTGTTATCCCTCTGTCCTTTATTCAATCATCAAAAGACTCATATACATATTAGACACCAGCTGACCTTCAGGATCATCACTACACAAAAGGGTGTCTGTAATTACCGTAATTCCTGCCTTTTTCAGGGTACTGTTATGTTCACTGTTTTCACTGTCACTTCTGTACCGTGAACTTATCATTACAGTTAACAAATAATTCCTGGACTTTCTTTTTCCTGCACCTGTCGCCACAGTGAATATATAGTTCCGTGAACATGTCCATTTTTCTCAGACCGGGAACTTTTGCTACCGTGAATATAAAGTGAATTACAGTATATATATATGGTACTATAGGTCACACAGACAACTCTTTGCCCCAGGGGCTTCCTTTACTGAGAAAAACTGAGCCTGTTGAAAGAACAAAATTTCCCCTAGAGTGGGACAAGGCGGTTCCCCCGCTGATAATACAGAGTGACGGTAGTGTTTTCGTGAGCTTTAAACCAAGTGTTCTCTATCTTTTCCTCTCTCTCTCTCTCTTCTCTTCCTCCCTTTCTTCTTCCCTCTCTCCCTCCCTCTCTACCTCTCTCTCTCTCTACCTCTCTCTCGCCCAAAAATCATCCGATGAGTCATACAGTAATATGTAACGCCTACCTCCAGGCACTTCCTTTACTGAGAAAAAAATCACCTGCAAACTTTCCCTTGCGTCATTATGATAGCTTCAGGCAGTTCCTTATACGAGAAAATTAGGTTGTTTTGATACATTAGTAGCTTTTTATGTCTTTGACCAGATTTGAACCGGAGAAGATATTGGAAAATCTAGGTTGATAGAAAATGATAAGATTTACCTCCTCCACTGCATTGTACGAGTAGATTATGCTGAAATAGTGGGCAAGCTGGTTATCTACTTCGTACTGCCATGAACAAATTGCACATGTAGGCCTGTGTTATCCCGCTGTCCTTTATTCAATCATCAAAAGCCTCATACACATATTAGACACCAGCTGACCTACAGGATCATCACTACACAATAGAGTGTCTGTAATTACCGTAATTCCTGCCTTTTTCACTGTACTGTTATGTTCACTGTTTTCACTGTCTCTTCTGTACCGTGAACTTATCATTACAGTTAATAAATAATTCCTGGACTTTCTTTTTCCTGCACCTGTTGCCACCGTGACTATATAGTTCCGTGAACATGTCCATTTTTCTCAGACCGGGAACTTTTGCTACCGTGAATATAAAGTGAATTACAGTATATGGTACTGTGGGTCACACAGACAACTCTTTGCCCCAGGGGCTTCCTTTACCGAGAAAAACTGAGCCGGTTGAAAGAACGAAATTTCCCCTAGAGTTGGACAAGTCGATTCCATCGCAGATAATACAGAGTGACGGTAGTGTTTTCGTGAGAGTTAAGCCAACTGTTCTCTATCTTTTCCCCTCTCTCTCTCTCTCTTCCTCCCTCTCCCTCCTTTTCTCCTTCCCTCCCTCCCTCTCTCCCCCTCTCTCTCGTCCAAAAATCATCCGATGAATCATACGTACAGTAATATCTAACGTTTATACCTTCAGGCACTTCCTTTACTGAGAAAAAAATCACCAACAAACTTTCCCTTGCGTCATTATGATAGCTTCAGCCAGTTCCTTATACGAGAAAATTGATTTGTTTTGATACATTACTAGCTTTTGATGTCTTTGATGTCTTTGATGTCCAGATTTCAACCTGAGAAGATATTAGAAAATCTAGGTTGATGGAAAATGATGAACCTGTATAAGATTTACCACCTCCTCTGCATTGTAGATTATGCTGAAATAGTGGGCAAGCTGGTTATCTACTTCGTACTGCCATGAACAAACTGCACATGTAGGCCTTCTATCCTTTATTCAATCATCAAAAGCCTCATACACATATTAGACACCAGCTGACCTACAGGATCATCACTACACAAAAGAGTGTCTGTAATAATATGGTACTATAGGTCACACAGACAACTCTTTGCCTCAGGGGCTTCCTTTACCGACAAAAACTGAGCCTGTTGAAAGTTGAAAGTTGAACAAGGCGGTTCGCTCGCTGATAATACAGAGTGACGGTAGTGTTTTCGTGAGAGTTAAGCCAACTGTTCTCTATCTTTTCCTCTCTGTCTCTTCCTCTCTCTCCCTCCCTTTCTCCTTCCTTCTCTCCCTCTCATCTACCTCTCCCTCTCCCCCCCCTCTCTCGCCCCAAAAATCATCCAATGAGTCATACAGTAATATGTAACGCCTACCTCCAGGCACTTCCTTTACTGAGAAAAAATCACCTGCAAACTTTCCCTTGCGTCATTATGATAGCTTCAGGCAGTTCCTTATACGAGAAAATTACGTTGTTTTGATACATTACTAGCTTGGCCGGGGAAGATTATTGGAAAAACTAGATCAATGGAAAATGATGGCCAGGTACAATGTATACGATTTACCACCTTCATCGTATCATAGCTATAGATGGATGCGAATCGTAGATTATACTGAAATAGTGGGCAAGCTGATTACCTTCTTCATTTATTGCTATGAACAAATTGCACATATAGGCCTGTGTTATCCCTCTGTGCTTTATTCCGTCATCAACAGCCTCATATACATATTTTGTGTAGCTGTTCTGTGTCCAAAACTTAATACGTTTCTCCTGTATAACCTCATTATGTTGCCTACTGCAGATCAACTGATCAATGGGCTATAAACCGGCGCTTTGCTCCTCTAATTATCAATTATAGTACACCGAACAACAATAGCTTCTAGATCTGTGACATGTCGACAGTCTCAATCCTACAATCTAAATCCTACAATCTGAATCCTACAATCTCGATCCTGCAATCTCGATCCTTCGATCTCAATCCTACAATCTCAATCCTACAATCTCAATCCTACAATCTCAATCCTACAATCTCAATCCTACAATCTCAATCCTACAATCTCAATCCTACAATCTCAATCCTACAATCTCAATCCTACAATCTCAATCCTACAATCTCAATCCTACAATCTCAATCCTACAATCTCAATCCTACAATCCCAATCCTACAATTTCGATCCTACAATATCTATAATGTTGTAGCTGACTTGTCTGTCAAATGCATCAATATTTTGATATTGATATATACAGTTTCTGCACTGCAGTATCTATAAGCATTGCCATAGGTCATGGGCATTGGTTAAATATAAACATATATTATTAGTAACGACATAAACCTACGTTGCTAAATCATAAACCTATAATCTTTTACAATGTTATCTAACACCATGAAGAACAAAATTAAGGGGAACTAGTCTTAATTATCCATATGTGCGTTATATTTCTCATACAACGGTGTAACAAATTGTGCTCTTGCTTGAAATTTGCTCTCGCTGTTTAGCGAATGAAGTCAAAGACTACATTTTCATACCGCCCGGCTTGGTTTATGGCAGTGATGGTTCCAAAATAGTGCTTAGAAGCATCCAGTGGGCCAACTGTGATGCTGGTTTCCACGGTCTCCACCCACTGTTGTACGTCATTTCCGCCCAGGGTTGTCCCGATGGTGATCTCGTACACAAGGTCAGTCTCGGCATCGAAGACTCGTTCCCAGTCTATCATCACAGTCGAGTCATCCTCCCAACTGTGGGTCACATTCGACTCCCCTGAAAACCAAATGTGAGCGTTAGAACGGGTATTCACGACAATTCAATGAATTGCAGCAAACCCGCAAAGGCCTCTCTTATACATTATACAATGTTCCATCCACGAAACGGTTAACGGGCCTGGTGTACTTTGGTTGAGTATGCCTGAATTACGAAAACGTGATGACTTTGATTGTTGAGGTTAAGAGAAAGCCAAAACGTATGATTGTATGAGAGTAATACCTGACAAAGACGGGCTGGTGCTGGTGATCTGGACATCAGCCTGGAGTGAGGCACTCTCCATCTGTACATTGTTGACTGCGCGGAGAAACACCTTGTAGCTGGAGTCTGGCTGAAGGTCAAGGCCAAGGAGAGTACTGGTGTCTCCATAGGGGCTCAGGTTGTACCAGGCTGAGTTATCCACACCCGGTCCCTCTAGGGCATACTGCGGGGGTTAAGACATATCGTTAACTTCGATGTGTGACAGGCTACATACCGTATCTTAAGTCGTACTGTCCACTGTGAGTTTACCGTACCGACGAATGGCGTCATGATTTTTAATGGTCCAGTTAGAAATGTAGGTACAGCACAGCGAAACTATCATCTATTTTGTTCAAGGGTGAAGCACGTTTTATTTGTTGCATTCAACTGGCCTCGTTTTCAATGGTTTTGCTTGTCGGGTGGTCTGGTGGGAGATGAGCGAACGTCTGCTATAAAAGATTTGTTGGTCATCTATCTATCATCAAAATCTATACTTTACCAGAATTTCCTATCTCCTTAAGGCCACAGCAAGTAATTTTTATGGATGACATCAGCGCCCGCATTGATTTTCGCCTAATTTTGAAAAAAAAAACAAGAAATTGTGTTGCCTTCTGACAGTGGTCAACATGCCGATAATAGGCCAAGATGTCTGTTGCCATGCTGGAAGGGGGATGACAGATAAGTATGAAGAGAGGAGACAAGAAAATGCTCTGGTTTAATGTTTTGTTTCCCACTTTGATGCAGTGACATGTGATGCTGGCTGTGTATACATGTATGTGATGTTCCCACTGAATGAAAACCATTTGTACAATGATTGAGTCAAAATCTTAAATTGCAGGAACCTTGTTTCATTCGACCCGCCTTGTTTTTTTCACCCGCTTGCATTAGAATTGGAGTCTGCGAAGGATGTCATCCATAAAATTACTTGCTGTGGCCTAATCCACACATACCTGGTAAGCCAGAATGCCAGTTGTGTCCATGAATCCGCCCCATGACAACAGCAGGGTGTCGGTTTGGGACTGGTGATTGCCTCGTGTGGGATACTGTGTCTCCGAGCGGGTCACCACACTCAGCTGAGCTGCCGCCGTGCTGGGCGGGGTCTTCACGATGGTCACGCCGTCGGACGACATGGTGGAGTGCAGACCCACGTTGTTGTGGCATCTCACGGTGACGAAGACTGTCTGTCCATGGACGAGACTGCTCACCGACTTTGAAGCACTGCCTGAGGCTTCAACCACAGTGTAATCACTGATGGAAGCCGAGCCGGGCTCCAAGCCTGTATTGGGAGATCAAGAGAATTCGCATCATATGTGGGGTCGTGTGGCGTAGCGGCAGAGTGCGCGACTCGGAACTAAGAGTCCCGGGTTCGAGTCCTGACATGCCGCCGATCTTGTGCCCTTGGGAAAGGCACTTTACACGACTTTCCTCACTTAGCTCAGGTGTAAATGAGTATTGTCCTGTCATGGTTTTGTCCCGTGTTGGTGGCCGCATTAATATAAGTTGAAAAAACTTGAGTGTGTCGTCACAACGTCTGGTGATTACATGTTGGAATAAAAAAAAAGAGAATTCGCATATCTATGTTTTAGACTTCATTTCAAAGCCTTGTCACTTCATAATACGTAGCAAGAAGCGCTTTATATCATGAATTCATATATAGAACGTGAACGATGAAATAATAAGAAAAAAAGTATTGCAAATTCATGCCCGAAGGCTAATTGAATGAACAGAAGAAACATTTGTATAAAAACAGATAATTAGTACACATAGAACTACTGATAACTATTAAGAAACTACTAGTAGAAAACTACTGGGTTTGACTTCTTTTTTGAAGACAGAGTAAGACAAAGGATCCCACTTTTTCTATAATTTGTGGGTTTTCGGATGTTAAGAGGATTGTAGTTTTCTTTTCATTTGTATATGCGTGAAAGTTTGGGTAGGATTTGGAGACTAAGTCAATGAGTTCATTTTCGTTCATTGCTATAGAGGGTACAATTTGAGATAAAATGCGTTTCGTCTTCCACCGTATTCAACGTACAATGTTTGCAAATTCGTTCATACACTTGGAGCTTCTTATATCGCCCTCTCAATAATGACAGATTTGATATTCTATACAAACATAGATATCATATACACGTACCTATTGCCCACTCGATCCTGCTGATTCCGCTTTCTGGATCTGTAGCGTCCCAGCGTGCAGAAATGACGTTGTCCCTTTGGTAGTCGACATCTGAAATGACAGTAAAACATGATTTATTCATTGCAGTGACATGATCTTCCAAAATTGATATTTCATGTCTACGTTGGAACCTACCCATGTCAGACAAGCCATCCCAAATGAAGGATATGACCGGGGGTGTTTTGTCCACCATGGCCGGTTCTGAATGCACCACGCTGCGTAGACCAGCTGCGTTGACGGCCACGACAGTTACGTGGACGTATGATCCTTGGGTTAGGGTCAAGTTACTGTTGACTGCTTGGTCACTGGTGCCAGCAGAGCGGAAGGTTTGCAGTTGGGTTCCTCCTTGTACTGTGCCTGTTGAGGAGAATGGATACCATATATGTGTTTTATTTCTGTCTTAAGCAACAGTTCCATATACGTCACATCCAGATCTGTAAATAATGATACACCACATGTATCGCATCACAAATTATACATCCAGTGACTTAAGATATTTTTGATACGGTAACAGTGATGTGGCGGACCTACCTATAGCCCACATGTAGTCAACAATGGGACTGTCCATGTCCACAAATCCCCAGCTTGCGAACACTGAAGATAACCCATGGATGATCTCCAGTTCGACATGAACGCTGTTATTGCTGCTCATTCCCTCCCCAACTTCCATCTCATTGCACAGCCGAACGTCCACGTTGTCAATGAGGACCCCCCTCGTTCTTCCCGGCGTTGCTATAGAAATGGCGGACGACCCGCTCGTTGCCGTGAAGAACAACGTGGCTTTTTGCCACCGGTCCTCACTCTGTGCATCATGTCGGCCAGGTCGGTGGTACAGTTGAACGATCTTGCTGACCCCAGGAGCTTGTATCAGGACTTCTTCGTCTGATCGTTTGTTCTTTACGAAGGGGTTGTGGTTGAATGATAACGACATTCGGTACTTGCTGCCTGTGGTTGTGCTAAGCAGCTGTGAGATGGAACCAGCTAGGTACAGGAAACTGCTCCCGTGATCCCCTGCAGACGCGTTCAAAACCGCAGCGGTTGAGCCTTCCTCAACCGTCCAGTGTGAGGACGTAAAGGACGGGAGTGACGTGAAGTCTAGCACTTCTCCCGACTTCACGTGTAGTTGGTTTGGTATTTCTTCGAAAGAATACTCTTCTACAATGTTCTGTCCGACCTCCAACTTTTCCATTAGGACTGGAGCTGTGGTGTCGATGGTCACTCCGTCAGACTTGGCGACGGCTGACTGCAAACCGGCAGCGTCAACGGCGTACACTTTGGAGTAATACTTCACACCTGACAAGCGATAGAGTCAAAGGATGTTTAAGTATAGCATCTACTGTTTCACAGAGAAGAGATTACGAATGCATCACACTGGCACATGATATGCACGATGTTTGATTTATGAAATATCAATTGGTTCATTACATCTTCAAAATACACCACAGTTTCAAACCATAAGGTAATTCTTACCAGAATCTAACGCCGTTTCCAGCTGAGTCCTTACAGCGGTTCTCAGCCCCACGTCTGTAGCAGTCAGCACGGAGCACTCGTTTGGAGCCGCGGTGGTTCCCACGCACCACATGTAGTGGTGGAGAAACGACTCGGCGTCCCAGAAGCCGTGCCAGGAAGCAGCGATGGACGTGGAAACATTTGTGTACTCAACATCGTGAAGAACTGTTAGGAAAGAACGGTAATGGATACAGCTCAGTAGTTGCCAATACTTACCGGTTTGCAAAACATTGCTTTTGTGACAAATATTTGTCACTTTTTGTTACACTGCCCTAACTACATTCAACAACGAAATATCCTTTTTGACAACTTGATAACACTGATTGGCTCCACTACTTTGGAGAATCTTTCTGATGATAGTCTGCTACATTTTCTTTTAAATGGCTCTTCTTCTTTCTCAACAACGTACAATATACAAATACTACAGCATGTCCAGGAATTTTTGTTGGAATCTCTGTTTTTTATATTTTTATATATCTGTTTCACCTGTCCATTGATTCATCATAGTATTCAATTTCAATGTTATCTGTGCTTTGCTTGTTGTATGTATTATGTATTGTCTGGTGGCGACATGAATATAAGTGGATCTTGAGTGTGTCGCCACCATGTTATTATATGTTTCAATAAAAAAAAACATTGCTTCTTAAGCTGATGCATTCACTAGAACACTGCATGCTGTGCTTCCTTTGGAAACCATTCCTACTATGGCAGATAATCATGCTTGAGCTCAGAAGAACGAATTATATAAATAGAAATTGAATGAGTAGTATGTTAGAGGCAAATTGAAAACATACCGACACCGTCCATGACCACGCCTGCCGTTGGCACTATGGTGTCCACGATCACACCGTCTGACGAGGCTGTGCTGTACAGCTGCACTTTGTTGAATGCCCGGATGTTGCAGTGGTACCTGACTCCCTCAGTCAGAGTCAGTCCGGTCAGTTGGTGCGTCGTTGTTGCGCCGCTGAGTTTGTTGCTCGCGTACGGTGATACAGATTCGTCTGAAGGAGATATTATTGATTTGATAGCACATAATAATTTTCTGCAATTCGTTTCTAGTTATAATTACTTGCATCCTATAACTATGAAACAACAGGAGCGAGTAGAAACAGGAACAACTACATAGAAGTTGTTGCCTTACTTTCTACATTTACAATGCGTATCATTTATTGTAGAAATTGTTTCATTGTCTAAAGGAGATATTATTGATAGCACATAATAATTTGACGTGCTTGGGTCATTCAATTTTCTGCAATTCTTTTCTAGTTATTTTCTTGCATCCGGTAACTATGAAACAACAGGAGCGAGTAGAAACATAGAAGTTGTTGCCTTACTTTGTACATTTACAATGCGTATCATTTATTGTAGAAATTGTTTCATTTGGACATATTTACCATTCGGTTCGAGGCCAACGGCAACTTCATAACTATCGATGCCGCTGTCTGTGTCGTAGAACACACCATCCCAGCCGCAAACAAGAGCTGTGCTGTCAGTGGTATAGTCGATGTCTACGGTGGCAGATGCAGTCAGTAAGTCTTTAACCTTAAGGAACAAAAACACGATAAAACATGTTATACAACCAGTCCACAAATCATATAACACTGGTCATCTCAATTTAGGAAAGTCACTGGCCATTTGGAATGTCAAGTAAAAATTAACATTTTGCATTCAAGTTTCACATCAGTGTGCAGGTCTTGATGTAAGGAGTATAGTGATATGAAAATTATTGTTCTGCAGTATTCATAACTTTAGATATCATTTATAGAAAATGCAAGCAGACCGACGGGTTTTTCAGCACCCCGACAGGGCTAGCAGCTACCCCGTCAGGACCAAATCACAGGACCGTCGGTGTAAAGTACTCACCCCGTCGGTGTAAGGTACTCACCCCGTCGGGGTGACACTGTCATAATCACTAAACCCGACGGGGTAATGTCACCCCGACGGGGTGGGAGTTCTGGTCAAAGAGGTGCAAAATCCCAAAACAAAGCCAGGAAAGGTGTGAATTGATCAGTCTATACACACCGACGGGGCAAGTTTACCCCGATCGGGGTGAGCTCTGATCCTGTCGGGGTGAGCTCAGACAGTCATCCAATCCAATTGATGTGCAAAATCGACATTATCAGGACAAAGAATAAGCATGGAGAGCACAATCCACACTCTTCTATCTGCCCCTTTCAGCCAACTATAAGGGTCACAAAAAAGAAAGATTCCAGAGAGCTTACAAACACATACTCACTACTCCAAAGCTAATGTCTAATAGAATTTTACCGACATGATCAATATTGACAGAAGGAGGCCATATAAAATAATACTTAAATTTATTTCCTTCAGTCTATTTGTAAGAATTGAGATGTAGAACACACAGGTCTTGCAAATAAATTGATCAAGTTCCTCAATTGCTATTACACTGGCCACAATATTCGGGGATCGAAATTAATGGCTTAGCAGCTGAAAACAGTCAGTCGTTCTTGTGAATATTGCCCACAAATTTTCATATGGTCATAATCGTGTCATATAATGAGCAAAATGCCTTAGCTGGTCAAGAATGGGAGCAATCTCTGATAATTGTCACAAAAAAGGGAGGTTCTCTCTTTTACCTCCTTTGTCTGAGCATGGAGGTAAAAAGATTACCTCCATGGTCTGAGTGGAAGGAGGCCCTTTGTTATAATGTCTGTCATTCAAAATACACACTGCAAGCAGTGCAAATCAGGACTCACTATTCTTCTCAGATATTTGGAGGCATCATGATAAGAAATATGTTGAGAAACTAGGAAGTTGGAACATACATTAATTTTGAACCTTGGTACCACCAGGTGCAGAGTATTTTTGTGAGGATGTCATGAAATCTTTAAACCAAGGAGCTTTAAAAAGCTTGGTGTGACTTGCTGAGAAACTTGACATCATGTGTATTTTGTCCCATTGTTCTGTCTGAGACAAGTTAATTGGCTGCATTGTTTACTTATTGAGACTTTTTACAGCGAAATGAAAAAATTTTAATGAAAGCTCTTTGCAGCCACTTATAATAATAGGTAGACACACAAGCGGCCATTGGTGCCCTACAAAATAGTCTACTGAGTACATCCTACATTCATATTTCATGGCTGGAGAAATACTTGAATGATGTGTTTTTGTCTACTGTATAAACTACTACGGTCAAAATGTACTTCTGTAAATGGGGAGAAACGACACTTTGGGTGGGTGGGGACATTTTGTAGCATGGTCTGTTCCATCAAGGTCCTTGGTTCCATTTGCTGTAGGATCTCCAAGCAGATCCTATACTGTGACAAAGCCGACAGCCTTGTCACAGTAGGATCTGCTTGGAGATTATAGGTTGGTGGGTGTGATGTTTGAAGAAAAAAGTGATTTTGCCCTTCTCCGATAACTTTCTTTTCTACAGACCCTGGAGTATTTTCTACATTACAACCACAGCAATGATATACAAATGTACTAGTATTTCTATGCAAGAAGGTATAAAATGAAATTTAATAGGGAGGACACAATTACTGTCCTTTCAAAGAGTTTGCCTCAGGTATGCAGTTCCAACTTCACGTTGACGTGCCAATTACCCCCAATTTACATAATGTGCACTGGCTTGGGTTGGCTTGAGAGTTGAGACATTTGTTTTTGTTCAGAGAACTGTGGTGACTGGAAGTGAAGTACTAGCTCCAAGCAGATCCTAAGGTGGCAAAAAGAAATATGAAATTGGCCAGGCAGTATCCATCGGCCAGAGAGGGTCCAATTTTCCTTGGGTTGGAGATAAGAAATAAAGGACAGTATCCTGACCAAGAAGGTTTATTGCAAGTCAGATATCCTGAGCTGTTATTAGATTGTGCCCGGTCAGTTTCAACCTGTCGACTCACCCAGAAAACTACAACTTTGAGTGGGTTGATTTTGCTTTTAGCAAATTTTCAGGGAAGAAGAAGGAATTTCAGTGGCAAAGCAATCAGAATCCCATAGACTTTTGAGACAGTAGGGACAGAAGGTACAAAAGTGGGGGGGGGAAATGTTAGCTTATTTAAGTCACTAAATTTGCCCACTACATGCTCAACAGTTGTGCTAGGTAGATAGACCTCTCTGATGTGCCTGGTAAATGCAACTACTTGTACATACCAGGATGCATTATTAACAAGTATCCAATGCATGAAATTTATATACAACTAGTACTGGTTTCCAAACCTGGCTCATGCTAATAATTCAGTCATTAAAATCTTTAAAAAGTGGCTAAAATATTCCTTAGAATATAGCCAACATGGTTAAAGTTTACCTATTCGCTATTGTAAGCACTATTCACATGACATTAATCAAAATGCCAAACAAATGGATAAACCTGGAATTTGTTTATATTCAGTCTTTGTTTTGGTCCATCCATGTTAGGGCATTATTCTTGTGTTGGCGGGCCATGTTTTTGACTGTGAAGTTGAAATATGATTGAAATATTGGAAAGTTGTTCCAGATTATTTCCAGTTTTGGCAACAAAATACTAGACTAAGTATATATAAGTATGAGCCTAAAGACTAAGTAGACAAGCAAGAAGCCTAATATTCACAACTTGAGCCTGCTTTCAAAGCAAGGAATTATACAATACTCTATTTCTGTCCAACAGTACCCATTCGGTAATTATTCTGCTCCAGCTACAATTGTTATGCGGGTTAAAACTAGGTCAGCTATTGTTCTTGACATGCAAATGTCACTGTCCAATTATCAACTTGATACAAATTATCCTATAAGGGAGTGTGTTACATGCCAAATTACTGGTAGTATCTCGGCAGCTTGTACTGGGTCACCCAGGAAAAGCCAGAAAGATAGCCCATGTGAAAACTAAAGAACATTGTAATTGACTATTTGGCCCTTCATCCAGTCAGATTTTCTGCTATCTGGCACCTAACATTGCACTTGGCCATGGGTTTATAGATACATGTAGTAGTATGTGTATTTTTGTTTGCTGCATTGACTGTTAGCACCTATGAAGTATAAAAAAATAATAGCAATGGTTACAGATTTTATTATGATGCATACTTCTCAAAGCACACTGGACACAAAATATCTCAGTGTGCCAGGCTCATAGCCTGGATGCCAGACCCAAAGCACACTGGACACAAAATATCTCAGTGTGCCAGGCTCACTGAGATATTTGTGTCCAGTGTGCTATGGGTCTGGAACCCAGGCTAAGATTTTATTATGATGCATACTTCTCAAAGTCTGAGTAAGGCCACACCTATTTAATTTCTTGGTTATCGGATTTTCTAGAAAAATAACGGAGCGGGCGGAAAAAAAATGAAAATAAAAACAGGCCTAGGCTTCCTATTATGGCCCAAAATGGTACGATAGGAGCCATGCAGTCTGCACACCAGGCTGGTTCAAAATTTAAACAATCATTTTGAACTTTTAATGATACCATTGCATTGAAAGATGGAATGACTGTAACAAGTAGTAAGGAAAGGACTGTTTTCAACTGTTCAGGGCAAAATATGAGCATTTTGCAGTTGATTTTGAATTTTTATTTTTATTTGCAAATCAGAAAAAAATGAAGCGGTGAATCCGTTAACCAATAAATTAACTTGGTGTGGCCAAAGTGCAAGCAAAATTTTTCTTCTTTGTCTGGTGCAGGTTAAATGTTTACTGCACCAGTTCAGGTATGCAGTGAAAAATATTTTGAGCCCTGGGGTATTCTGCTAATGATAGATGAGTTTATCCATGGAGTTTGAAAAGTTGTTATCAACGTTTATTAAATTTTTAGCCATGTCCAAACTCTATTCTTAGTGTTAGCCAGGTTAGAGGTTATAACCTCCTTGCTAGAATTCATCCTACAGTGAGCTAGGTATTGGTGGACAAAGACTAGATTTTTTAAAAACCTCCTTCTTTAGGACCTACACATGTACAGGATTGTACACGTCATGTACATATATATGGCACTCATGTGGAGCAGGTTGACTGGTCAATCATATCCATTCCTGCCATGTCAGAGATATCCATGACCCATTTGTATCTTTGAAGACAATGTTCTTTCATAATCCTGGAAAATACAGTCTAGAAAAACTGCAGGAATACACACAGAACTACAATAATGAAGTGATATAATAAACTGTGTATAAACCGCCATCAACCTAGAAGCAAGTTTAATGTTAATTTTTTAAACTTCATTGGGAAATTACTTTCAGTCTGGTCTGAAGGCTTAGGCCATTAGCCCAGCCTGTTCAACCTGACACACCGACGGGGCTGTTCAACCCCGTCGGGGTAACCTTTGAGCCCAGACTTCTCATGAATTATCACACAAACTTGCTAATTACACTGGTGTGAAGATGTGAATTCTCATTAATTCAGTGTTTTTCATGGGGTGTTCATGAGGATAATTGGATGCGGTCTGGGTGCGGGGTGGGTTTCCACCCCGACGGGGTAGAGTTTACTCCCGACCGGGGTGGGCTATTGATCCCGTCGGTGTGGCTTGTACACCGACGGGATTGCAATTTTTAAAGTGAAATATCTTAACAAATATGTATGTTTTGACCATAAAAAAATAACCTGGTACTGAGGATAACATGATCTTTCAAATGGTATGTAAAAATTTACTGTACCTGCAGAAATGGCAAAGTTGAAAATCAGGGATTTCAACATGGCCGTCTGCAAATTCGGAAAGTGACATTCCAAAATTGATGTGACCAGTGTTATATCACTCATGAAGGCTTGAATATGATATTTCTAGACATGTAAAAATTCCTGGAGGAATAATTAAAGGGCTCGTACTACATTGTTTTATAGCTAGTTCCACGGCAAATGCTCCGTGGAACTTCATTCGCTAGTGCCCCCACTTAGAAAATTCTCAACAAGGACACGTCTTGCCACTTCCACCGAAGCAAATCACCCTTTCTTCCTCCATTCACCACCTCTTAGGGGGAAGTTCCATGCTGAAAGCTTCTTTCCAAAAACAACATCACTTTGGAATAAGCTACCTCGTGATTGTTTCCCCTATGAGTATAACCTTAAACTCTTCAAGTCTAATGTCAACAAAATCTGTCCTCCCTGGCTGTTCTGTAACCAAAAACATTTTAAGTGGCTCCCACGAGCCTTGTTTTGTGGTGACTGATGAAGTAAATAAAACAAATCTAGATATAATCTATGGGTTTATCGTTCTAGAGACTGAAGAGTGACAGATATACGTCTATAAAGTAAGCAATGCTCTCCTGATGAGAAGTAATCTCAGTCAGTAGGCAAACCAAAATAGGTTGTGATAACTTGTTATGGTATGTGAATACTAGCGGATGCTGTTGTACATAACTTATGACTGTTAAATCAAGGTTGAACTAGAGAAGTAAAATTTGCAAAGCAAATGCATAATGTTTACCTTCGGACATGGTCTGCCCTGTTAATTTTTGCTCAAACACATTCGCATACATGTACTACTAGTATATGGTGACAGGAGTAGAGCAGACCATGAAATTGCAACATTATGTAACCCAACACCAGTCACCATGGTGGCAGACGTCAACAAATCATGTCATTGGCCAGGTCAGAGGTTAGTGTTTGGAACAGAAGAGGAGGAGGAAGAAACTGAGTAAAAACAATATGTTTTCCTTCGGTAAACATAGTTACCATACCTTAATTGAGCCGTGAACCTTAGGAGGTGTGATGTCCAACTTGACTCCGTCAGATGAGAAGACTGCGTATGTTGTCTGTGAGTACCATGCTCTGACGTAAGACACATACTCTGCTCCTCGTAGGGTGTGGGCTGTGTAGACGGCAAATAAACGTAAAGGTTAAGACAGTAAGACTACAAATATAAATACATAGCATATATATATTCATAGATACATAGCATATATATTCACATAATGATGCTGTGGAGGAAAACTAAAGCACAAGAGGGGGAGAAATAGACAAGTGATTATAAATTTTTACTCACCTCCATCCTTTGTAACCGGTAAATGGATGAATCCGTAGTTAGCACCGTTTGCTTCGTGCCATATTTTGTCTGACGTAAGGTCAAATACACCACTGCCCACAGCCTGGTTCTTTTTTCCTACACTCCACTCGTATCTGTAGACATAAAAACAGTCATGCTTCCGACATATTGACAAAAACAGGTTGCAGTCTTGTATATGTAGCATTAGACAACGTAATAACAATGTATACAGCAATGTTACTGAACGTGTAGCTCTGGTCATTTCCGCTGACCCGTATGAAGATAAAGCAATACGCGAAACTCATTTGCATATATGTGACAGTACAAATACTACCCTACCCAAATAAACGTTAGTTTGTTAGTTACTTAGTTATCCCTTGGGCCATTGTACTGGTATATAGCAATGCGAACTTTTTGTTTAATCATCAACTGAAGATTGGACTTGACAAATTGACGACTTATGCTGTAGATATTATCTACACATCCACTAAGATGAGTTTGCAACCGTTCTATGTGTTTCATTGGGTAGAAGAATGTCTAACATTCGTATGGTCAGCACACTTCTTTGTCTTGAATCTACAGTCAACACTTTAATGTGTTTTGTATCAAATGAGTTTTTATTCTAAGGAGCTGACAATGTTTAAGTACCTTTCAATTGGGAGGCCTGTATTTCTTGTAACCTTCCATGCGGCAGCCAGGAAGTCTCCAGCAGGTGTGTAATCGATGTCGTCCTCTTCAGTTACCGAGGTGACATCCGTCAGGTCGATGACATCATAGACACTTATCAGCGTATTTGGATTGCCTGGAGGGGTTGATGAAATGTTAAAGGCATCTGAGATATACTTTATTTATTTATCTATTTCAACTTTATTACAACAAATGTGTAAAAGGATAGGGGTAACAGGAACATACTCCTTTTTAATACCCCCACCAAAATAAACTAATAAGGATTACATAGATAATAATCAAAATAAACAAAAATCAAGCAAAAACAATAAAAAATCATAACGTCACTTGTTACAAGGATGATGACAAAGAATTAACAAATTATATAATGAGCGTTGTAAGTAAATAGAACGAAGAGCCAACGATAAATAATAGATCATTCGATAAGTAATAAATAATACATAACAGGTCCAGCAACAGTATGAACAAAAACAGCAAATTGAAACAATAACGATGATAATAGTACTTAAAATGTTGATCATAAGCAAAGGTTCGGGTGATTGACAAGACTCTATTTTAGGTCACAAGAGACATATCACCTGTAGTTATGTCATTGCAGGGTTGGGTTGGTGTACATAGTTGATCTTGAGATGCGCATGTACAGTGTCCTATGCAGGTGTGGGCCTGGCATCTTCTTACCAGGGACAGAAAGCCTCTGTCGGCGGCGGATGATACGAGGGAGAAAGCTTCATGTGAAGCGGGTGCTCTCATGCCAACCTTCAAAAAAAAAGAAGAAAAGGCAAATGACATTTACAGTCATTGAGCCCCTGATGAAAACATTTATTTATGTTGCAAAAACTATCAAGAAGTACATCATTTTCGTGAGGAAATTGTTGAAATGATTTGTCAATTATTTTACCCCGTTGACAGCAACAATCTTGATGTGGACTGTCGAAGAACTGCTCAACGCTGTGGCAACAGGAACCTCGGCGGTATGAACCACTCCTTCCAGGGTTGTCAACGGTGAGTCACTGGGGGCAACCTCTATCGGGCCGCTCTGCAGTTGGTCAGAGAATCAGTCGTTAATGAAATTATATTTCTGCTTCCGGTAATGATAATATACTTAAGAGCGTACAAACGTATCGAGGTCGAACGAATCGACTACAGAACTCCTTCCTTCACCAGTCAATCAGACTCTATAACACAGACTGCACAGATAGAGTCTGGCACAAGATAATGGAGCTTGTAAATACCTGGGTTGTAGTAGTACTGTACTGTTTTATAGTTTTTGTAAATATATGATATTTTAACACTTGTAAACATGTAAATATCGACGCCATTCAGGCAACATTGTATGCCATGTTTGTCTGTTATGTCTGGTATGTTTTATAAAGAATTGAATTGAAATTGAATTGAATTGAATTGAGGTACTGTTCATTCATTCATGGGGTCTTATGTTAGCTTTGCCTAATCACTTTTAGTTCTTGGAGCTAGACACCTTTAACATTTGCATCATGTATGATATGTCAGCTTTCTTGAAAAATCAAACTTACGGGAATCAAGTTGTCTGCGTCGAAGTTGGTTCCCACGAAAACCAGATACTTGTCGATTCCAGAATGCACGTCAGTGAAGCCCAGCCAAGCCAGGCGGAGAAGTGTAGGGTTGCCGTTGACGTTGTTTTGCCACGTCATCCACCCACTTTGAGGCCGCAGATTATCTATGGCGTGGTCCGTTCCTACTGCGAATGTCCCAACTTTTGGGGGTGAGCCGTCCACCTAACACAGGTATAAATTTATTTACAATATTTATTTTAAAGCATAACGACAGATGTCCGGAATGCTGCAGGATGCCTAGCTACTGCAGCAGCAGAACACAGTGGACTACTACTATAACGACAGAAATCGGCACTGTTTGCCATGTATACAGAGGTTTCATCACTTTTCGTGGTCTGCCAACAAATTTGTGTATTCAGAGTTTACATATGGCAAATCATATAGTGTTGTGTCAATACGAAATAGAAATAACACTTGACAAATGTTATTCATACATGAAGACGGTTCAAACCAACCATGATCTCGGTTGAGGTGGATTCTGTGCAGAGTTTTGCCCTGTTACAGGCGACCACTGTCACTGAGTAGCGGTTCCCATCGTGCAATGTCATGTTACTGAACGTGTAGCTCTGGTCATTTCCGCTGACCTGTATGAAGATAAATCAATACGCGAAACTCATTTGCATATATGTGACAGTATAAATACGGCCCTACCCAAATAAGCTTCAAAGTAATAAGAAAGGATATGTTATCAATAGCTAGACCTGTAAATGGTTAGATTGATCAAACACATTAGATGCTTTCAAGATCTTTCAACGGTTGCTGTAGATACATGTACACCTGTAGTCTGCAGGCCCAAGATCACAGTTGGAGTAAACAATTGTCTGTGTGGAAGAATCATTCCCAATGCCCCGCCAAAGCTGCTACAGCCTCTTGTCAAACATACAAACATGGTAAATTCCCTACCTTTATCGTAGGTAGGTCGTGACGGGATTCCTGGTGAGTAGTTACAGACAGGAGGTGATATTCTATCCCAGAGTCGGGGTCAGCAAACTGCCAACTGACTCTAAGAAGTGTTCTGACCACCTGAAATGTTCAATTTCATTGGGTAACAAGATCATTTATTACTATAACCAGTTATCATTAATGTAAGCCTAAGTATACCACCCTAACTTTGCAATATCCAAACGGTTTTCAGAAACTACATAGTACCTGTGTATCAGCCTTCAGTGACCCCCAGCTCAGGTCAATTGCAGCGCGTGTAGTCACTGTTGGTGCGGTGGCATCAATGAGGAATCCATCGGAACTTCTCTCCACCGATAACCCCACTTTGTTGAACGCCTTGACAGTCACGTAGATTTTGGTGTCTGCAGGCATGGGTGTTGTCAGAGTAACTACAGCCGTTTCTGACAGATGAAGCGGTGACGGAGGTAAAATATCACTGCCTCCAGACGATGTTCCCGCCCGCCACTCGTAGTGAGACAGTTGTGAATGGGCGTCGTGGAACCCAAACCAGCTGGCTCGCAGTAGGTATCTAGAAATGAGCAAGAAAGATGTCAATCTTAATCAAAGATTCAAACTTTTCTGAGTGAGTTAATCAAAGAAATTCTGTTGAACCGAACTGGCCTATTGGACCCCTGATAGCCGAATAAAACGTAATGTGAGATATCCGTTTGTATACGTTTATCAAAGTTGCGACACCGTGTTAGAATTACCGCTCATGTTTGTGCTGCACTTAAAATATTACTGATACACTTTTGTTGCTGAGACATGTACATAATTTAGTGTAGCCAGGCTAAATTCCTACTCACGTAGACGGCTGATATTGGACGTCCACATCAGCGGCTCCATCGCGCACAGTCCCTGCGACAGGCGGCGTGTCGTCCATCAGAACACCGTCAGAAGAAGCGGTGGTGCACAGTTGGGCAGCGTTACACGCCGTGATCGTCACGTAGTACGTAAAACCAGGAACCAGCGGCAGGTTGGATGCTGACATATCTGGAAGACATAGGCATGGCAAATGTACAAATGGTTCTGAGAAAGATTGCGCAAATGCCATATTGAGAAGATTTTGCAATAAAAAAAAGGAACGTATTGACTAAAAATACCTGATTTGATCCCAAGATCCACGTCTTCCAGGACATCTTTGCACATTGGACATGTTCCGATGCTCCACTTGTAACTCACGATGTCTGTGTGAGGATCATGGAACCCTCCCCAGTGTGCACTGATGGTTGTCTTGTCAGTCTGGTAATCCAGGTCGTTTGGAGGGTCCGCGGCTGGTCCATCGTGGACAAACCCAGCCTCGGGTGGGGACGTTTCAGCCACGTAGCCGTGAGAAATGGCGGTGCTGACAAGGCCAGCTCCGTTCGCAGCCTTTGGAAAGAAATATGGACAGTTCATAAACATTTATTCTGAAATGACGTAAAAATGGAAAACTCAATGACAAAACCAAAGACATCTGGGACAACAATAAGTTAGTGACTTGTACATGTGATTGCAAACACAAGACAAAGTACTGACCATTATTGTTACATAGTAAGTATGGCCTTCCAACAGAGGAGGATCTATTTCTGAGTCTCCAGCCACATTCTCTGTAGCCTTTAAACGCACTACGTCATCCACGCCAGGAGCAGACCCAACTGCCCAGTAGAACGAGGCAATTCCGCTCTCTTTGTCGAAGAACACGTCTGGCCATCTTTGTGCAAGGAAGGAATCAATCATTAATTTCTTAAGAGTTTCTGAAGGCTAGAGTTACGTTAATTTTAGCATTTTATACAGCACGAGGGTCTATTACGATTAAATATAATGTTGATTGCAAATTCGTGCCCGAGGGCTAATTGCAGGAACAGAAGAAACATATGGTATAAATACAGACAATTAGTATACATAGAACTACTGATAACTACTAGTACTAAGAAACTACTAGTAAAAACTACTGGTAAAATGGTAAATTTCAATGTCCGAGTCGAAGGAACCAGATGGGCAAATACTGCTTCTATAGGCGAAAACAAAGACAAAAGTAAAAAGCATAAACCTGACACTGATGGAATCCAGTGATTGGAGGAATAGACCACCGATGTCAATCGCTTTGTCATTCTTCTCAGGAGGTGTTGTATCAACAGTCACGCCATCCGATACAGCAATAGACGAGAGACCAACGAAATCAACCCCTGTTGAGTTATAAGAAGGGGATTAATATTACTTGTTGGTGTGTTATATATAGAAACTTTATTTGCAAAACCATGTCCGAAGGTTAATTGCTTGTACAATCAAGTAAACTTGTATAATACTCATTGCAATACAGTAACAGGAGACAGGTAACAACTATCTGCAAAAACTTCTACTTCTACTACTACGCTAGCTATTATGGGGTTCGACTTCTTCTTTGAAGGCAGTGGATAATGAATAGTCTCACATTCTGCATAATTAGTGGGTTTTGTGATCTTAGTAGAAACGTTATAATCTAAGTTAGAATTCTGGTTTTGCAGCTATGCCTGGACGTTGTTAGGAGGCATTTGCCCTTATAGGCTAGTAAATATCTATTGCCAACTTTCCATCCAGTACAGCGCTAATAAAGGGTTAATGCACTGCCCCGAGTTGTATATGGTGTCATAACTGCATGAGCAGCTGCCATAACCACCGAATAAACCACCGTGTGAGCGAAGCGAACGAGGTGGTTTATGAGGTGGTTATGGCAGCTGCCCATGCAGTTATGACACCATATACAACGAGGAAAAGGCAGTGCATTAAAATTATTATCATATAGCCTATCCAAACTGTCAATCAACACAATTCCTGTTTGAAATACAACAGCTTTAATATATATACATACATAAAAATACATTCGAATATATTATACGCTTTAAAACAAATATGGATGATTTCATTTAATGCAAATTGTAGTTTAAATGAAACTAAACAAAAAAAGTTTATTGGACAGAAAAAAGGCTACAAAGGTTTACAGAAAGAGTCGCATGCCCCTATACCCTATAACATAATGGTATCAGCCATAACACGACATGTGCTGTTATTCCGCCATAACACCACATGTGCTGTTATCGGGAAATAACAGCACGGGTATCCGGGCCTCTGATTGGTCCACGCCGTCCGGCTATATGATAATGTCACATAACTCATAGGAGGAATAGAACTGTTAAGATTATCAAAATAGAATTAATTACAACCTACAAATCTGGGCATGAACGCTACTTAACTTTTCTATGCTGCTTAGATATCCTGGCCTTAAAAACGTCGAGATGAAGAGTTATGTACCTTTGATTGTTGCATAGTATGTGATTCCACTGTTAAGACCCAGGTTGTGGACGACGACGCTGTTGATGTTTCCGACTTCTGTGAAATCTTGAACATCTATGCCCCCAGGAGAGGTGCCTGTGGGGTGTAAAACAATAACCTACATATGGAGTTCTAGAGACTGTTACTGCCTTTGATTTTGGCATCATACTTTGCATCAGTAAATCAAAGAATCTAGCCGTTTATTCTGCAAATGCGTTCAGCTATGACAGATAAAGAGCATTGCAGTTATACGATATATCATAATTGCTGCGTTTCTCACCGATGGCGCACAGGTATGTCCTGATGCCGGAGACATGGCGAGATGTTCCGTGTTCTTCAAGGTCCACAAACGGGTCCCACCGTACAACAATCTCCGAGGATGACGACTGAAGGCAGAAAAAACAGTTACACATTTACTACACATGTCAAGTCCTTATTTACTCAGAGAAAGCAGCTGACAAATGTTCAAGTAAGTGACGAGTGAATACATTTTGTAAGATCATACCTGGTAACTCTTGTCGTCAGAATTCTCGATCCACACTCTTCCAGGAGTCGGCGGTGTACGGTCTACAGTGATGCCGTCACTACATGCAGAGACGGCCGGTAGCTCCTGGGAAAATGTCTCGAACACTTGTGTTGTCCTGTTAGCGTGAATGCAGATGTGATAGCGCCTGCCTTGCTGGAGCGCCAGATTGTCGACGTTGACGTACTCGTCAGTCGTGTTCCCACAGGATATGGCGAGGGGATGCGCGCACGGGTATGGGAACTGACTGCTGCCAGACACACTGCCGTAGTCACTAATGCCTGTTGTTTGTTCTATGACGGCCCATGTGTACTGTCCATGTCGCAGACTTGGCCACACTGCCGACAGTGTAGACTGTGATGATGTGTAGTCTGCGTCGTCTCGTGTCCATAAGGCATTCTCCTCCAGTAGTACATGCCCTGTAGGTATAACAGACGGAATAATACTGATTGCTGGTTAAGCGAATTTTTCTAAACAGTGTCAACAGAGTGGCGTCGTTGGCGCAACGGTTAGAGCGTTGGACTCGGAACCAAGAGGTCCCGGGTTCGATACTCACCGTGGCCCGACGTTGTGCCCTCGGGAAAGGCACTTTACACGACTTCCCCACCATGTACGGTGGAGTGACGCCCACCGAGCCTCTTAGGCTATTTGTCTAACTGGGTGCCAAAAACACCCTACGGACTTGGTGCGCCAATGTGTCAACATCAGCACATTTGCGACCAAGAGCCGTTAAATTATCATTATTATTATTTCTTAACAGGGAACAATTTCTACTGTAGGCTCTATTATGTATACGTAAGGTCTATTCAAACCATAACCACCTGTAGCGTCAATGACGAGGTGCTGAGGCCCAATGGTGTCTTTACTGCAGTCGTTGATGTCAGTTTCAACTGAAGACTGTAACCCCACTTTGTTGATACCACGGACAACCAGCTTCGGACAGCCGGTAGCTAAGATGTGCTGTGGAACACTGGCAGAGTGTTGATGGTGTTCCTGATACAGAAACAATGATGTTATCAGGCATGACGACGATCACTATTATGGTCAAAGTTTATTGCACAACGATTGTCACGGGTACAGTGTATGGCAAATAATAAGATTACTAGTTGGTATGTGTCTAACATAATGCTATATATATGGTCAACGGACATTGTATCTGACAGAGTATTATAAAGAACTACTGGCTAGAGAATATTTCGACTCTACATGTTCATTCTACATTGCGCTAAACTATACACATGAAGGGTACAGTGAGCAGTTGTACCTAATTATACTAAACATGTTCTATGGCTACTAAACAGAGTGTATACTAAGTTACTTGCCAGGAATGTTAAAATTCTACATATAAATGCTACGAAACGCTACACATGTAGTTGATAAAAAATTCAGTGACTCTACTTATATTATGCAGCTATTCTAAGATGTCTATTTTGCATGGCATTATAAATGTATTGACCTATATATACAGGAAATGTGTCTGGACATGACATGAGTACATGGAACGTCTCTCTAGATGTGTTGGGTTAGATACTGATTAGTGGCGTCCATCATAGCATGTAAAGACTGCTTAAACCATAAAATAGTGCTTACAAGTCATAATCATCAACTTGTTCAGGCTTACCTCATCATTGTTGTCGAGCTCTATCGGAGTCCATGGCAACAGCAGCTCTTTTCTCTCTGCATCGGATGTCACTGCCCACTCGTACCGACCAATCACACGGCTTGACACGGATGCAGGAACATCTGCGTCCTTAAAGGCGTCCCAGCTGAACATTATTGTGGAAGAATTCTCCCCATTGGTCTCTGTAATATTGACACTCAGGCGGCCAGACACCGGGGCATTTGGAGTGATCCACGTGCCGCTACTTACCACCGGTTCGAAGCACCCCGTTTTGTAACACGGAGTGATGGCAGACCGATATCTATTACCCGGGCGTAGGTTGAGGTTGGACTGGACTGCCGCACCCCGTTTCACACTCAGAGGCTCCGAGATTCGCAACCATGTCTCAACTGCCGAACTCTCGTTTCCTGATGACATATGTAGCTAGGGTTAGGGTTAGGGTTAACTTCTTACAGAAATATCTCGGCAACGAAAAACAATATCTACTTTTGGTTTGCAGTTTGGATCCTCTGGCCGGGAGAGCTTTACAATGATACCAAGGTGTCCCTGTTTTGATCGATTTTTATTTTAGCTAGGGTTAGGGTTACTACTAACATATGGAGTATATGTGGAAGAGGGACCACAAAGTCTGCTTTAGAGAGATCTTGCTCATATTTGCTGATTCCCTGAACCACCTGAATTCAAGTTCATATGTATTGGGGTGTAAAGGTATGAGATGGGGGCTTATTCTCTCGCCTTATTCTCAAAATGTATCACCAGTTCTGAATACCTAAGCTATCAAGGTTCTATTCTCAAGTAGTGATACCAGTTTATAGTAAAAATGATGGCGTACCATTCTGTAACTGCTCTTCTATGGTCCAGTATATCTCGCTCAAGTAGCCCTGGACGTTTTGCGGTGTTTCCCAGCGTACCCAGCAAGTGGAGACAGAAAGCTGAAATTCTTGTTGACAGGTATCTGCAATACCAGAAAATCACTTGTTGTACACAGGGGATGTTGGCAAAGTTCAATAATTTAGTGTCTACACGAGTAGTCTTTGTATCTATTGAATAAGATGACAAATAATCTATCAGATACACCTTCACCCTTGTCCTGCTGGCATTCCTGGCACAATATTTTTCAATAATTTCATATCTTAATTAGATCATAGACCCCCCTTTTTGTTTTTGCCCTGCAGTGGCATAGTTACTTCGCATTCGTTACGTTTCGCTGCGGTGTGATGCGGTGCACGAGAAATACCCCCAAATCGTACCTATACCTGGTGCTACATAGATGGTACTGTATGTACAGAACAACTATTGTTGTGCTCCGCAGGACAAGGGTTGTTAAGTTTAAGTCACTATTGTGGTATGTGATATGTGGTATAACACTATGAAATAACAGGGGAAAACGGACAAAAAAGGCAATTCGTATGAAAAAGAGACGAATTCTGCAGAAAGAACGAATTTCTCTTACCGTCGAAGTTGTTGTAACACCCTGGTCCATCTTTCACCACCATTCCTTCTACCCGGCCATCGTGCTCTAGAACGGTGACCCCGTCTGAACTGACTATGGCAGTCCCCGCATCATTCGTTGCCCTCACAGTGATGAAGTAGGTCTAAATAGTTCATAACGACAACAACGTTGCAGCAGTTTAGACTAGTACATTACATCATATACTTCAAAATACATTTGATAGTTTCAGACTAGAAAGGGTTGCACGGGTTCACCTAGCACTATCAATACATACAACTGATTATGTGGGCACAGACACAAAACAGTTGATGGTCAAAAATTGTTGATAGATCTGTCAACTGTCCGTGCGTGATCTCCAATGTGTTTTGGTGAGATTCACAATGATCACAATTGTCTACAAGGTCTTGTAGTAATTTCCCCATAATAAGCTCTTTCAAGAATCTCATTGACCAATGGCAATGATGTTTGATCGATGGTCTTTGTCCTTGCTGACACAGTAGCTCTGTCATTTCCTAATTAGTCTATCGACATTGTCTCAACAACAAAAATACTAAGACACGTACCTGGAAGTACTGGAGACTAAGGCCGGTGATGGAGACATCCGTGCCGGCAGCAGTAGTGAAGGGTCGGACGTCCTGACCGCCGGCAGTTGTCCCTACCGCCACCTCATAGGTAACTGCCGCTGCATCTTGACTGAAGCCGAACCAACGTGCCGACAAAACTCCGGTGTCTGTTTGGGCGTCGACGTCTTCGTAATCCTAAAATAAATACAGACATACCAACATGAATATTACTTGGCGGTATGTCATTTTCATCTTCTGGGTGGTATGTAAAGACGATGTGTCTTTCATGTCCTGTAAACAAGTACATTTGTGAAAATCTACATTACCAAATCCACACCACGTAAAACTTTGTTTTTATTTTGATAGAAACAGAACTGAGAGTCCCTATTGTGATATTTTCTCTCTCGAGATAGTTCCCTTAGAGAGAATCTAGCACATACTCGAAAGCTAAAGAGGATAGGAGGACTCTAGCTTGGTCAACTAGTACATCATATAGCATTTGGACGTGTACATAATGATAATATGATATGAATCTTTATTGCATGTTCTTGCCCAGATGGGCTAAATGCACAAAATCCAGTATGTAAAACATGAGTATTTCATACTGGTACACTATATTCTAATGCAAAGCGCTAGGAATCTATACATTACAATAATACTATATACTACCTATCATCTACTGTTAGTAACAATGATAACAGCTTACGTGACTTCCTGCGTCATCCACATCCGGCGCAATGTCAAACACGACACCGTATGTGGGTGACGTCCCGGGTATCCTGTAAGCGCCTGATGTACCCATGACCGACAGGCTTGCCGGGTTGGTCACTTTGACAAACATGTAGTAACTGTCACTTGGATGGAGGTCCAACGCGTCTGTTCCAATCGCTGCACAGTTCGGAGGCTGAGAGCTCGCGCAGGGACCATTGGCTCCAACATCGCGGAAACTTGACATGTCAGCCGAACTTGGGTGACGTCCTGAAACAAATCAGGTTACACCAATTCTGCTTCAATCGAAATCATAGCTGTATTTCGTAACAATATTATCACACCACCAGCATATAATTAAATCGAATCTGATAAAAAGTGTTGCTTACCAACAGCGAATTGGTACTGCAGTGGGTCCTGGCTTTCTTGGTCGTAGAAGTCGTTCACTGACCAGCGTCCTACAAGATAGTTCCCCTCAGTAGATAGCGTGATTTGTCCGACAAACTGAGGAGAAGTTATGTCCACAACAATGGGGCCTACAGTCTGAAAATAAAAACATTAAGTCGCTACAAAGTACAAACCTTCCCTTTTCAATGAATTAATTACCTCAAAGTTACCCTGTAAGCAAATCAAGCCATGAATGCAAAACTCGAGGTGAATCCCACTTCTGACACCATTTTGTGTTTACTGTGATTCACTGAAATGTCCATAGCTAGGGGTGGATAAGTAAAGTCTACATAGGCATGTCTGCTCCCGGCTCTGTTGGTGTCGGAAAGAGAAACTACAAAGAATTACAGTACTTCTGGTACGTATGGAGTTATATCAATGCAGACGTGGTATGTGCTAAATGGATCGAGTAAGGGTGAGCTGTTCCCTCTGCTTGATTACACCGCTATGAACACAAATGTCTTACCTTGACAGTGGTTAGCCCCGCGCTGTTCTCAGCCTTGATGACCAGATGGAACTGGGAGTTCTGACTGATGCGTGGATGGGAGAAGCGCAGCTCCGGGATGCCGGTGGTGGAGGTGAAGGGCATGATGTCGGGGCTACTTGTACTACTGGTGCTGCTCAACCCCACCGAGAAATCGTAAATCCCGCTTTCATCCTCACCGATCCAGGAAACAAACAGCTGAAGTACCAAGTAAAGGTAACTTTAGCCTTCACTTTATAGAGATGGTGGACGATATAAACTCCCTGGCACTTTTGATCAATTGCCTACGTCACGTATCAGTAAAGTCTCGTGTGAATAAAGTCACGTGTTTGTAAACCATAGCTCTCGCGAGATCACGTTGTGAAGTGATTGATCGTTCATTATCCTGATGAAGACGACAGTGGTCGTCGAAAATTTGATCGCTCTGTAACCCTTGTGTTGGTATAAAGTTCAATGTTTTACTATAAAAGGTAACTTAAGTTCTATTTCTGCTTGCAAAAACGGTTGGTCACAGGGATGGATTTTCGATATCAAGAAACCAACGTATATTCATCTTAAATCATTTAATCATTGCCGATACATAAATACACAAGGTCCTATAGAATAATGATTTTACTTTAAGCCCTTACAATTGTTGCCAAACAGAACCCATTGGAAATCTAAGAGAAACTGAGTAACAAAATTAGTACTCAGATTATCATGAAAGTTCATCTGTGTTGGTAGTAATCATAGTACAACATTGAACTTTATTCCAACACAAGGGTTAATTATCCTGATTTGTTTATTTGTTTATTTGTTTATTTAAATTTTTCACAAAGTGAAGGGGAGGGCAAAACAGGTGCGAAGCACCTTTGCTAGTTGCCCTCCCACATACAAAAACAACAAGAATGTACATTACACAGTCAACAATCTATAATACAAGTAGGGCACAAAATATCATATAAACATAATCAAGGTAACAACAATGAATGGAAGAGATAACCATATCGGAACGATATCTAGTGAGGTCTTGAGGCAATACAAGAGCTACATCCACACGAAGTGGTCCAGGTACATGGCAGATCAAGACTGTATTGAGTGTTGAATCTGTTGTAGGCTACTTTTGCCAGTTTATGTTGAAATGCTATGATATCAGACTGATGAGCGGCTCGCACACCAGTACCACGGAGGTCAGAACCTAACTTGTTCCAGATAGTAACAAGTCTGGGAATGTAGGAGTGACTGAACGCTGACGTCTTAGATCTGACAGGTGTAAGCATGTACGACCTAAGACTCCTCGTGGGTCTGGTGGGAAGTGTGATATATTTCTCTATGATTGCTCCTGATGAAGGCGACAGTGGTCGTCGAAACTTTGATCGCTCTGTAACCCTTGTGTTGGAATAAAGTTCAATGTTTTACTAAAAGTAGTACTCACAGTACGGTCGACCGAAAGGTAGTTGATTGTTGGTGGCCCTCGGTGCTGAGTGCAGTACTGGTTGGACAGGGTGGTGTTCGTCACAAGATCTAGCCTCGGGGCGTAGTCATCGATGTTGTTTACTCGAGGTGCAGTGCTGCAGAAAAAGTTCAAATGATAATCTTAAGGTTGTGTCTCTTCTGTTGTGGCAATTCTAACATGGCCTGAAGGATTGTCACTACCTCATAGTCAATCTAAGTTGAAGACAGCTAGTTTGCCTCCTCCGGGTTTGTATTGCAAAGCTACATATAGCATAAGCTACATACTTATCTATTGCAGGCGTTCTGCACTATTTCGCGTCAATGAAAAACGATCTGGGGACAAGAAGATACACGTATACGTATGTCTATGGTTTTACAACGGGACTTACAGGCATTGCGCTGGGGGGTCTAACACCAGCACACGGTGCCGTCTCTGGTCTATCAACCAGACGTCACCACCAGCATCTTTCACCACCCCAGGCCGGACGGCGAGGTGGTCCACCTGGATGGCCGTGAGAGTCGGCGGGGTGACGTCCACCGTGACGCCGTCAGAACACACCGGTACGGACGGGTCCAGCGCGTGGTTGTAGGCCACCACTGTGCAGAAGTAGGTCCCGGGGGTTGGTGCCGTGTAGACAGCGTTGGTGTCAGTTGTCCTGGTTATCTGTGATTCAGTTTGAACTCATTTACGTAAGCTGGTGCAGCGATGGACATTGCAGAGTAACAGTTCAGTTTAAATGTTGAGATTATTCAATTAGAATGCAGCTAATCAAAAAGGCCTAATTTTCCAAGTGTGAAAAATCAAGTTTGTAGGCACAAGATTTGATTAACATTAACCATAGTACTTACAGATGCGCCCTTCGGTAGTTGAAGATCAGCTGCATCCAAGCAGCTGGTAGAATAGCCATACAGGTAGAACTTCACGCCGCTCTCTTCGTCAAAGAAGCCGTCCCACCAGGTCTTAATCGCTGTCGTCTGCTGATAGTCTATCTCTGCCTGCCCCTCTAAACCGTCATGCACAGTACCGGGAAGAGGCGGGGATGTGTCCACTGTTATCTGGAACAAACCAAAGCTAACAGTGAGCTGAAGAAAGTACTAACTTCAAATGGGCGTGAATACCATGTAAGCTGTTTAAGCTGTAAAGGTTACGCATGCTGCCTTTTTTATTCCAACATGTATCACAAGACGTGGTGACGGCACACTCAAGTTTTTCAACTTATTTTTATGCTGCCACCGACATAGAGGACAACACATTACTCATTTTCTCCTGATAGAAGTGAGGAAAGTCGTGTTATGTGCCTTTCTCAAGTGCACAAGATCGGTGGCATGGCAGGTTCGAACCCGGGACTTCTTGGTTCCGAGTCGAACACTGTCACACCACACGACTGTCACGCATGGTGCTTGTTCGCCATATCCCAAACCATGAATTGCTCGTTATTGATAGTGTCATCAGATTCGTGGAAAAGTCACCAAACAAATTCAGGGATCAGTGATTTGCACCTCTCGAAGGGACTTGGTTGGCATGACGTGTCAATCCATCTAAGGCTTCTGGGACAATACCCCCACGATCTTTAGGAGTAGATTTAACCAAATAGTATCTAATCCCCCGCAGTGAAAAAAGCAGTTACCTTCAGTGTTTGTGTTGTGCTGAGAGTTGCCTTGTTCCTGACAGTGACTGTCAGGAGGTAGTCGTGGTCATGTCCACCCACATTCACCTGGCTTTGGTCAATGGTGATGATGTAATCCTTTTTGTAACACGGTCCCTTTGCAGTCTGTACACAGTTAGTGGTACAGGTGCTACCACACTGAAAAACAAAACAGGAATGACTTCAGATATGAAAAATAGCTTGTCAACAAGATATCGATAGCGAAGCATTTCTACTCCGTGTTTTTGACAAAAATGTTTGAAGTAAACTGAATCAGTGCATACTACATGTATCTACCATTAAAAGAATCAAAGTACATTCCTTCTGATATTGTAAAGAAATTTACTTACAGCTAATGTTTGTACAGCTACTACTCCTGATCCAATGTTGGCTGAAGTTTTAAAGTCGGTCAGTCTCCAGGTTATGTCATGGAGTCCGCTATGCTGGTCAAATGCGTCGAACTGAATTCTGTTGTAAACAAAAAAAAAATCACACATTAAAGTGTCATACAGGGAGAAAAAAGATTCTTCTTCAGTCGGTTGAAACCAAATTAGGTGCGCGAAGAAATAATGTATGACCAAAAATTGGTAGTAAAAAAATAGCAATCATCTTCTGCTACACAAAGATGTATTCTATGCAGGATTAAGACTTTTTCATGCCTTCCATCCACCAAGAAAAGAGAAAGTTGAACATATACTTACTGCATTTCATACAGATCCACAGAGTTGTGCACGACAATGTTGGTCTCGTCTCCACTCGCCAGCCACATGTTTTCTATGACCGGTGGCGAGGAGTCGACGTGTGCCGTGACGCTGTCGGTGATCTCGTTCCCCATGATGTCTCTCGCCTTGACCCATATTTTCACGGTGTCTCCATCCTGCTTACTTTGGTAAAAGCTGCGCTGTGTGTTGAGATAAACTGATGTCCAGCTGGTCGGTTCTTGAGTCAAAGTTGTACCCCCTGCATGGTCCTTTGTAAAGGCTACTTGGAACTGTGTAACTCCCTGGGCATTGGGAATTTCGTTCTTGTTACGCGTACCCGTCGTTTGGTCGTAGGCAGCGTCTATTCCAGCATGAAATTCCGCGATAGGGTTCAGGAGTTTGTTGTTGTGGTGGTACCGATTAATGAAATGGCTGGTCCAGGACGCTGTCACCGTGCACGCCGTGCAATGCAGCCAGTTCTCCCCATTCCCAGCAACGCTGTTAGTGATGGCGAGTGGGTGGTGCGAGTCCAGTTCCACAGTGTTGGTGTTGTCAAACAGGACGAAGCGCCTGGTACGTCTGTAGTTGGTTGCGGCGTCGTCCACCGTTAGTATGACTGAGTACACGCCTGCATGGGTCAGGGTGATGGTGGGGTGCTGGATGCTGCTTGCTTGGATGGTGCCATGAGCAACTGAAGTTGAAGGCTCTGTTAGGATTTCGCTGGTAGCCCCTAACATGTAGACACTGTACTCATATTTTGCGACTCCACTCAAAGCATCCGTCCATCCTGAGAACTGCAGCGTAATCTGATTCTGAAGGCACAAGAAAACAAGGTAAAAACAAAGTAAAGACAAGGTAAAAAGTTTATCAAGGAGCTGTAGATGTATTAGGGTGACAGTTGAGTGTTGAATGCTGCTTGAGATGACGATGCCATGGAACTTGGATGGGTGAGATTCTCTGAGCCCGTCGACGTTATTGATCAACAGTTATACTCTAGAGGAAAAAGTAATTCTCAACTTCTGTGACTTCAAGTTATGCAGACAGGACACGTGACTCAGTGAGTGGTGGAATCTAATTAGCAGAAAGTTTGAGTTACTAGACTACATATAGAGCCACGTGAGCATTCGGTTCCATTGGACAAGATAAAAATCTTTGACAAGGAACCAGACTCTCTTGCAAAAGGAATAAAGAAGCCATCGACGTCAGGGCATTACAATCATCCCTTGAAAGAGACGGAGGGCGCCACAGACTTTCTGCTTCATATGATACACTCCTCAATTTTCAAAAGAATCAACCTGATAACTGCCATACCTGTTTGGTAACGGACGGGCCGATGTTGAGTTGTGTGCCACTGCATGTTGGGGCGATGAAATCGAAAACAAACTGGGCTGGGGCAGAATAGGACGAAGTTCCAGAATAGTAATTCGTTTGAATGGTGCTGCCAGCGTCTCTGTTGTAAATGTTGACATATCCGCCATTTCTGAAATCTGCCACAGCTTGAATCCTGTCGAATCATGATGAAACGATATAGATTCAGTTTTAACCAGCATCCAGCTTCAGGACAATTGTCTAAATCACCCTAACAAATGCAGGCCACAGCCGCGTTTCTTTGACTCTAGGAACAAGGCAGTTAGAGGTGGCAAACTTACCTGTAATTTTTGCGACCGTCTATCTACTAGTAATCCAGCAGACAAAAGAAGCAGTGCTGAAGATGTATGTCAGGAATCACAGAAACATACACACTAACAGATATGCATACAGACATACTGACAGGCAAGCCAGAAACAATACTTCATTCCCTAGAGGTGAAGTTAACATCATAGTATGCATGCCACCTGAATATTCTAACAGGAAATCTACTACATATACTGTACATGTCTAAACTGTTGGGATTTTTTGTTATTGTTAGAGGAGCCTAAAATAAACATGGTTAATCCTTCAGAAAACCTTACCAACCACACCAAGGAAGCAATCACAATGCATTTTACAAATACCAGAAGCAGAATCTATGCAGGATAAATCATTTAGTACTCTCATGACTTCAAAAGCATTGAACTCAAGGCAGTACTTGTCTAACTACCTGTCGCCATCGGTTATAGACCAGCTATAGATCGCCATATTCACTGTGCAGGTCATCACAGTCGTCCTAGGGTTACTGTTACTGGCCGATGAGCTACATGTCTCTCTGACTCTCCTGAGCAAAGTGTTACCTGCAAGATAAATTGATAAACCACTTTTGAATATTGGTAGAAGTATTGAACATAGGGCACTTGGCACCACATTCATGAAATAATGACACTTCCAATGATATGTCGGATTAATGACAAGTGTGGATGCAGCAATCTGCATGTCAATGTTAGAATTGTTTTCATGAATTGTTTTTTTTTTTACGTCAGTAGAGCTCCCAGAACATTAGAGCCATTGGACACGCATTAGTCTCCATCAGACTCCTTTTGTAGGCTGATAAATAGTACGCGCAGGCATGCTGGATGAAGATTCTATGGCGGCCATCTCCTAGAAATCTGCCCATGATATTCCCTTTTTATGCCAATTTCTACTATTTATCAGCCTGAAAAATGAGTCTGGTGGAGACTAGACACACATTACAATAGATCACCAGGGAGCTCACGGACGAAGAATATATTCCGCAGTTGCCACTGTTGTTTAGCTGCTGTACGTGTGTCTAGGGAGTCAATCGCTGAATGTGGCTTCGTAAATATGCCTCGCAGATTCTAGATATCAGTCAAACGTCTAACACATTAAAAGCCACTGTAAACGTGTCCATTCTTTTTCGGAAAGGTAAAAGTTAATGATTGAAAATAAACATTTTAGCTGAGCAATCATTCTCACCTCTATATTGTGAAGCAGTAAACCCTCCTGAAATTATTCCCAAGGCGTGGCTGTGCACATAGACTGGTCTAGGTGGAACACTCGGGGTGAAGTGGCCTGTCCATGTTACCGTCAGAGTGGTCGGGCGCATGTTGCTGTATTTTAAAGTTGACTGTTCACAACTAGCTTCATCTCTATCGGTGTTGCGGGTTAAGGACGCAAGGCAGTTTATGATGCTTGGTCGGCTGGTTACTGCAACAGATGATACATGTACTGATCAAACTCCATAGGCTTTGTACATAAAACCGTTTATTGTTATAAAGGTATGATGAGTGAAATAACCAACATGCTAACATAACCGACCACATGCACCCAATTACCCGTTAACCTACTCACACACAGAATTCCGTGACTGTGTTTTGTTATGGGTTCACCACACCACGAAGTGGTGGTGAACCCATATTGCTTTTTCTGATGTTTCTTCTCCTCCTCCTTCTCCTTCTCCTCCTCCTGCCACTTCTTTAAATTGATTCAACTCCTTCATTTTTGGGCGAAATTACTTGTAATTTCGTATAGAGGTAGAGTGGGTAAATACCCTTAGGCGTTTTTAAATTTTTTGATACAAGCTTTTACAATCGTTTTATTTGCTTTTTAGTGGTCCCCATAGGAAAGTACTGTGGGGGCGTACGCGCGTGACATAATAAGAAAGGAATTCGAGGGAAGGCCCAAATATGGGCATACAAGCAGGTGTGGTCATGTTTGCAGATGTGGCTGTTGATTGGCTGTTGGCTAATTAATTTATTTACTACCATTTTCACGTACAATAGGGGGATTACCAGCGCGGCTGGTCCACGCGGTCTCGGCCGTGGGCCATGATACTCTGATATTGGATACCGATTCGTGTGATTCCTATAAACATTTCACCTAACTACGAACTAGTTGGAAGAATTATAGCTGCATGGATGTCTGTATATGATTTTAACAAACACTGAAAATCTGACGCAAAAACTGGCAGATATTTTGCTCTTCTCTGTTGGAACAACGCAAGCGGGAGGTCAATGACCTGCGCCCCGCGAGTACTGTAAACAACGGTACGTAATGTGTATCGTCGGCGCACGCCCCGACAGTTTTCAAAGATTGGACAGGGAGCGGCGGCTTCTGCTAGCCGGATTGATAGTTACGTTACATCAAGGTACCGGTGGTTCAAAAGCGAACCTGATAAAGAAGGAAATCTCCTAGAAAGTCCCTTACTAGTACTTGAAGCGATCGTTACCGCCATGTTGTTCACTTTATATGACATACAATGCAGATAGTAATGGAAACGCGTCCAGATAGCTCGGTTGGTAACGCGCAGGGCTGCAAGTCCAGACATTACGAGTTCGAACCCCGGTACACTGGATATTTTTAATTACCCTTTTTACAATTTTTAACAATTTTAACATTTTTAACAATTTCAACAATTTTAACCATTTTAACCATTTTACATTTTAACAATTTCAACATTTAATTTTAACATTTTCGTTTTAATATCCATTGCTTTGCTTTTAACATTCCAAAACTGATTGTTCTTACTCAAGAATTTCAATAACTTCGAATGTTAGTCTTTTGTATTTTTCAACATACAAACCAAAATCACTTTGTATGTTGTCACAAAAGTAACATCTGTGCGCGCATCGGTTTTCGTTCATTTAAAAACTACAAGTACAAAACAATCTGGAAACTAAGCAAACATACTCAGTAAATTGATTGCTGTAATTCCCCGATTTTTGTTCACTGTACCGCAACGCAAGCGGGGGGTCAATGTTCACGGTTTTCACTGTCACCTCTGTATTGTGAACTTATCATTACATTTAGGAAATAATTCCTGGGCTTTCTTTTTCCTGCAACTGTCACCACCGTGAATATATAGTTCCGTGAACATGTCCATTTTCTCAGGCCGTGAAAATTTTGCTTCCGTTAGTAGTAGTTACAATCTCATCAAAAGTGTAAAGTAAAGCTGTCGAGATTTAAAGTGCGTGTCGTTGTATCTTTGTAAAAAAAAGGGAGATAATTGCCAAGTGCCAGTTTTGTAAATACCTGTCGAGATTCAAACAGCTTGTCCTTGTATAATTGCAGTATGATTTATTTAGAATCTCTCATTTTTGTTTGGGGAAGGGTATGGAGTGAAATTCCTACATTTGCTCCGAAGCGAATGTTGGCCTTTCTAGTTTAAACGGATTCAGCTTCTTCATTTTAGGGCCTAAGGTCCTGAAATTTGGTATGGAGGTACAGTGGGCAAATACCCCTAGGCGTTTTTTAAATTTTTGTGATACAGGCTTTTAAAATGCACGATGGTCAAATTTGGGCCCAAATATTCCAACCTTTATATCGAACAGAATCATGTTCGATATGACGTCATTCGAATCGAATCATGTTCGATATGACGTCAATCGAACCGAATGTTCGTTCGATCCGGGGTTACCCGCGGTCATTACAGCTTGAACCCGCGGCTTCAAGCTCGTTTTTACACGGGTCTTAGTTTTGTTCTACTGTTCACTAAAATGCAAAAATATGTGATTTTCTGGAAGATTTGGGGTCGGTTTAAATCAGTTGTTTGGATATTGACGTCGATTGTTCTAGAATAAGCATTCGACGCGTTGAGAGTGATTTCACATACATTTAAGCATTGTAATAAAAACAACAACATTTGAGGTATATGCAGTGCTGATTTTATCACATTTGGACAAGGCAGTCCCCGTGAAACTGTTAATTATTGCTTAACAAAATGTTTACTGCTGAGACTGGCTCCACGGAAGCCGCGCGTGGAACCCCGGTAACCTGATACCCCTCCTTAGAATTGGAAACTTTACCCTAGAAATTGACCGCCGTGATGGTTTTATTTTAGTTTTTTGGCTGTGTTATAGCAAATGCATTACTGTGTTAGTGTACCGTGTTTACCACGTCTGGGCATGAGTCATCACAATGGAATGCAGGGCATCAACCAATAGGCATGCAGCTTTCCTCTATACTTCTTGCTGATTGGCTGTTGGGATTTAACTTGATCAACACCTGCACAGAGCATTTCCACCTGCACAGAGCATTTCTTGCTGATTGGCTGTTGGGATTTAACTTGATTAACACCTGCACAGAGCATTTCCATACTGACAGTATGTCTTTATTCAAGTGTTTTGGTAGGTATTTCAAGCTTTTCTGCTCCAGCATTGGAATGCGGGGCATGAACGTTTTTTTTTTTTGAAAATCAACAGTTTGCATTGTGCAATTAAAAATCCTAACCAATAAAGTAGGGAATAGCTATCCAACTGTTGTTTTAGTTGTATGTTACTTCATATTATAGTTATATCAATGTAAATCATTGTTTTCCCTTGTGTTTCTCATTCTTTCCCTGCCATGTCGTAAAATGTGGTGAACCCATCGCTGTATTTGCTCCAAAGCAAATATTGGCCTTTCTAGTTGCTACTTGCTTTTCGCAGATTCACATTGCAGGTGGAAGAGACCAATCCCCACAAAGTACAGTTTTCTTAACAATAACGTTAAACTTAGAAACTGTTGAAAGTTTTAAAAGCAACGTTTTATATATTTCCCGGTTTACCTTCATGATGTATTCATATTGGGTACCATTCCACCTGACATTATCACAACATAGTGCAAGACATTATCACAACATAATACGAGAAATACTTTATATAAGCGTAGTACCCACCTCTTGGGCTAAACAAAATGTCTGCATATATAGGTACTTACTTGTCCTACAATGCGCACCGCCGAATCCCGCAGTACATCTGCATGACGAAGGCGTGGTCGGACACGTGCCTGGGTAACAGTTGTTACTGCTGCTTCTCCAGGAACATTTCTCTGTATGGGGGGATTTAACAATAAGATATAAGGTCACAAATGTTATAGAGAGCAAGTAACTCAGTAAAAGAGTTATATTTTTAAAGGCTCAAGTAAAATAACGGATCCAAGTTATATTTAGCATCAATGTTTTATTACCCCTGCAAGATGTGTAGAGATTGTCATATGCCTTGCCACTGGTTCCGTAGTCTCCGTTGCACCTGTGACATCGCTGGTTGTAGCTGGTGGTGCATCTCTCTGCATCGCAGTTCGATATTTGGGTGCATCCTGGAAAAAGACCGCTTTGTTAGTACCGTTACATTAAAAAATGTATCATTCAAATGTACCATTCAAAAATGTATAGACAAGGAGGAAAAGATGAAAATTACATTCGTTTCAAGCTGAAATTGTCAAAAAATAGCGATGTTGATTACAGCAATGACAAAATCAATCAACACTTGCGACTCTTAGTGTCATGCCAGTCAAAGAAATACCTTATATCAATATATACTAAATACTGTTATACTTGAGCTTACTGCCTCACAGCGCAGGATCTTTGCCTTTTATCACGAAGTTCTTGGAGATATATGAAATAGTCTTAAGATCTAGATTCGACGTTATCAGCAAATGAACTTCTTTGAATCAAACCGCTTTGGTGTGGAATATGTGACAACACAATCATTTACTTCCTAACGAAAGATTCCAACTGATTATGTTGGACTAAAAAAGAAACAGATCTACTCACGGTCACATCTCGGTGAATAGTAGCCATCGTTACAGTTGCTGCAGATGTTAGGCCTGGTACAGGACCCGCCGTTGAAACAGTATGTCCTTCCATGACACACAGCTGGAATAGAGGGAAACTTACAATTACATGTACTTGAAGATGGCAGTGCAAACGTCTCTAATGCCTTGGCGTATGATATCTACATAAGACATAACAATTATCAATTATTGATTATTCATATTTTGCATTGTCAATAAAGATACCAGTATAGGGTTAAGACATACAGAATCAGATGCTTACGTATGCATCTTCCCCCACTCGCTGTGTATCCGGAACAGCAGTAAGCCTCGGAACGGTAACAGGTTGCCGATCGGTAGGCGGTTCGGTATCTGAAAACGATAGATTATGCAGGTATGTGACAATTACAAAATCCTCCAGCTCCATATATGCTGCTAAACAGAGGACCAAACGCTTAAGACATTTCGCATAAACATTTTATCTAGTAAAAGATTAGGTACCGTGCACAGCTAAACCACCTCCATATGTCTCCACATCTGGTGTAGTACCTCTGACTGTAACTTTCCCGACAACCATAGGAAACCGTTCGATGGCAGACATTTGACCTGGAGTAAAAAAAACAGGTTATATACGAGACTGGGTTTACGGTCTCCTTCGGCCACATCTGTATATACAGGTGACTATTACGTGCTTATTACTGTCCACAATCGAAATGTAAAGTTAAAAGCATACCAAGCGTAACATGTGTTGGTGTGTGAAGTTTCTCTATCGTTTAACTTATTATGCACATATTTTGCATAGCGTTTGTCCATACATTCTAAGATTCCTACACCGAATCCCATGCTTCAAAGTGTACCTATTGACTGAATGTCCAAAATTGATGGAAGATGGACTCATGCAAGCTTCAATTTTATTCTTCATATAAACTCATTCTTTTATACTTAATATATATACACGCATTCTCTATCAGGCAAGGTGTAGCATCATAATAAGCACGGGACATACTTTCAAGGCCATCGAAATCACCTCAAGACCTGCGCTAAGGTAGACCCAGTCAGGCAAACTTGTTTTCAAGTATGACTTACCCACTTAAAGCAGTGCTGCATCTGAACGACAGGGCAGAAACAAGTAGGAAGACTGTTGTCCTGCCCTTCCAGCACCGTGGGTTCAGCCACATTGTGAACACTATTGGGAAAAATAAGCTTTAACAAGAATTCATACTAATTCAGACTTCATACCTCCATGAAATATGTAGAGTTAATGTAAATGTTTTGTTTCATTGAATATGGAAATAAGGTGGCAATTGATATAATGTACGTAGTTTAATTTATGGTGTTCTAAACTCAACTTACAATATTTTGCATGTCAAACTCCTATCCTTTGGCAATATTTCATTTAAACATCCTCATTTAAACTTCCTCATTAATTATGCAAATTGCCTTTATATGAACATAATATATGCATAGTGTTGTTAACATTTAAGTAACCTACACATGTCACAAGGTACAGAATTGCCATCGTTCACCATTAAGAAATCATATAATTTTCGCAATAATTATGCAAATTAGGTCATAATTTGCATAATTAGTATCTGTTGACGTTCTATCTGCCATAGATTACATATATTACATGTATGAAAGTACTAAAATGTAAAACACTGTAATTATAGAATTTCCTCATTAATCATGCAAATTATGTCTTCATTTGCATAATTGGCATTTAATTGTGTACATCTCTCTATCAGCTACCTACCTACCAAAAATGATGAAAATATGTTGTTCCTATCTGGATTTATTGGCTTTTAAAGATTTCGCGCGAAAGTCCCCTGCAGTTCCAGAACAAGCTGGTAGGGGGACCAAACCCACACCACTTATTTCAGACAGAAAAAGCAATCTGTCACCAAAAATTCAAGACGAACATTTGTAGTCAGCATAACTTCATAACGCCTCCATGGATTGTGATGATATTTGGTATGCTGATAGGTCTTAGGACGAAAAAAGTCAAGGTCAAATATTGGCCTCCTGGCGGATGACCTTGGTACTGCAGCAGAACTTGCGGTTTTTGTATCTTTTGTCCTGAACATGCTATGGTCTTGACTTTTTGGTGACAGATAACTTTTCCTGTCAGGAATAAGTGGTGTGGGTCTGGTCCCCCTAGCAGTTTGTTCTGGAATTGCAGGGGACTTTCTGGCGAAATCTTTAAAAGCCAATAAGTCCAGATAGAAACAACGTATTTTGGTATGTAGGTAGCTGAGAGAGAATTGTACGTAATTAAATGCAAATTATGCAAATTAGGACTTAATTTGCATAATTAAGGAGGAAATTCTATAATTACAGTGTTTTATGTCATACCTGGGCCGCGATTACGTTCGATACGGGTGTTCCGGCCCTTGTGATAACACGGCCGGGGGGTTCATTACCAATTATGCAAATGATGACCTAATTTGCATAATTAATGTGAACATTCTGGACTCCTTATTGGTAAATGATGGGAATTAATACCTCGTGACATGTGTAAGTTACTTAAAGGTTAGCACCACTATGTATATATTATGTTAATGTAGATGTCATTTGCATAAATAATGAGGACATGTTAAAATGAAGCATGACAAAGAAAGCTCATATTTCATGGAGGTATGAGATCTCGGAAGTCTTGTCTTGGTAAAGAAAACACCCGAGGCAACCGGCTGATCATGTGACTCAGCCATTGTTTGGAGTAGAGGTGACATTTACGGGTTACTGGGCTTGTGATTTGATCTACGATTGTAGATCAAATGTCATTCATTTAGCATAGTCTGTTGATAATGGTAAGTCAACATGTAAATCTCAGCTGGAAGATCTCTTCACCCGGTAAAGGGAAAAATATAGATAGAAAAAAACAGGGATTCAATTATGGATATCACTTGTTCTTGTGAAATTGGTTATGTCCAGGAAAATGAAATGGAATCTGATTAACAAGAAAATGGTATTTCTTTGCTTGGAAAACTATATTTGGATAATTAAAATGCCATGCCAACAACATGTTAGTGATAAATTATAGGATATATTTTACAACTTGTATTCAAACTACAAGAAGGTAAATGTAAGATAAACTGTGAACGCCGATGCTGAGGATTAGATAACGTAGATATGAGCCAATCCTGCATGAAATCACGTCAAATTTAAGGCACTAAACTATCTCCATCAAATTATTTCCTGGCCGACATCTTGAGATCCAGATCATGTTCTAGGGCAGGGCATTCATATGAAGGGCATAACAACAATAACAAAAAAAGGAATCAAGGACTATACCTTCTCTGCCAACTTAAACATTTTAACCTACGAGTGGAGCCACTATGGTACCCTGACGTTGGGCCATGACCTCTCTATTCTGTTCTCTCATATGATCAGACGTGTACATGTGTAAAGCCCTGATTTTTGTTTGTTTGTTTTTTTGTTTATTACGATCTCCATTAGTATGGTTGATTCCATCCTATTCTTCCTAGAGTCCAACATAAAATAGAATAACAAATAAATAGCAAATAATAATAACATAATAATAGTAATTACTTTTAGCAATAATGATAATAAATAAAACATACAAAATTATGTTAAAATGATGACAAACTTGAAACAATCAGCATAGAGAAATAAAAGTGCATTGGAGGTCAGAGGTCAAAAATGAAAATCATATGTCTGAAATTAAAGTAATAATTGATGTACTTGTACAATCAATGGGAAATTGAAGTAACAAAACAGTAAACAAATATTTGAACTGACATAAATAATAACAAAATATAAATAACTCAAATGCCATAATCTATATGCAACAGAATGTGATTCCTGATGTTTCAGAGCATATAATCTATGACAGAAGGGAAAGTAATATGTGCCTCAAGTTTGGAAAGGCCCTTCCAAGAACCTTTACCATCACTTACTAAGCTCCCACACCGAAGAGGGGACGTAACAGGAGGATACAATCGCTAGCCTGGTTATCAGACCTATTTATAGCTCCTGCATCCTCTCAGCAAAATAGAGGATGTAGGACTAGGGAGCTATGAATAAGTCTGGTAACCAGACTATACAATCTTACCGTCTTACCGGTCCCTTGACTATACAATAGCAAGACAAAAAGAAGAAAATATGACCACTGATATTACTAGTGTATACAAAGTTGTACACCACCAGTTCACTGTCATGTCACAGTTCACATATCTGGTCAATCACTTATTATCAATTAACAACTCTGCATGAACGAAAATATAAACCCTTGTCCTTATTTTACGGATTGTAATATTTGACCGTGTCTTGTTCACTGGTGACTATGTTGGTTGCTACTATGGGAAGGTATCAAGTTAAGTCAAATTGCTGTATTAAAATTTGTACCAGTTGGATTATTGCGGTCAAGTTGATGTAATAACGAGATAAGTCTGCAAATTAGGTAATCCTTTACATCATCAATATCTGCCAATGATCCTGTCGTTCTCAATTACATATGCCACAAATGTTTCTTAGTCCTATTATTGAACAAAGCAGATTTATAGAATTTCCTTATCAATTATGCAAATTAGATCCTGATTTGCATAATTGTTATTTAGTCATGTCAAACATCACCTCTGCTACCTACATACTAAAAATCACGACAATCTGTCGACTGGTTCTTGAGTTATCCTCCTTCGAAGATTTTTCAGCAAACACTCCTACAGTTCCATGGCAATCTGCCAGGGGGTCTAAACTAATGACACTTGTTCCCTACCCTAAGAGCTATCTTCCATGCAAAATGCGTGACCCTAGCATGTCTAAATCATGAGATATTAAAACCGAAAGTTCTGCTGCAGTACCAAGTAAAGCCACCAGGAGCTAGGCCCAAAATATAATCATTTCAAGATTTGGGGCCACCCTTTCCACACACCAAATATCATTAACTTCCATTCATACCTTCTTGAGCATTACGTTATGTTGTGTACAAACAGACAAACAGACAAATGCCACTGAAAACTTTCTTGACGAAGGTACTTAGTAGTAAACGAATCTATAAAGTAGTTTATCACAACATAGGGCGTAACCGAGCACAACACCACGAAGCCAAGTGGTTCAAGATGTCATAAAAAATACACGATTCCGAATCCCTAAAAAAAAGACAAAGTTTTACCTCAATACAAAGACACTAACTGGGGTGAGTCTGCGTTGTCCACCCTTTGGAATACTGTCGATGTCCGTGACTCAGTTTCTGATGAAATTGCTGGGTGTACTCGGAGATAGACTGATTTTGCTGGTCAACGTTTCCAGCAAAGGACCTTTTACAAACAGATACGTGCCGATTGTATAGCAGACAGGCCGTACGTCCTCGCCATATCTGTAAACAGCAGTAACATAATAACTTCCGTGTCTAGTTTCTATGCCTGAGGCCCCATAAGACAAGCGTTTGACGAAACGGCGAAACGTGCAACAGACCGGCACAAAAGAGCGGAATAACTAGTTCTACACCGTAGTACGTCATGTACTGAAAGGTAGCGCGGAACAACAAAACATGGGGATAGCTTAACTTTAGGGACATCGGGGACAAAATGGAAGCCAGATTTCGCGTGCTGGCTTCTGTACTGTTGCTAGCAGTTGGCTGTTCTGGATTAGTTGACTTCAAGCCGGGGTATCAGTACCAGTACGAGTATGGCGCCTCTACAACGCTGAAGCAAGCCCTCACTGTGTCAACCTCCGCGAAAGTATGTCAATTTACAGTATACTAGTATATAGCAAAGATAGATAGAGTATTTAGCAATATGGTGTCTGCAGTCATACCATTGCTGTTATCGTGAGTCAATTGGTGCTTTCATGCAATTACCATTATTGTGAAAAATGTAGCGTGGTTGCTTTGTCGGCTATATCTTTGCTTTCTTGTAATGGGATCTTAAAGATTCTTTATATTGACCCTTTATTGACAGAACAAAAAGTACAGGAACTTTTGTATATGGTCTTCAACAACTGAAGATCTATCAAAGTTAAATACATGTATGGATGACTTCATCCTACGTACAGAATATATATATGTTGCAAATTACGTACAGAATATATATCAGTGGTAATAATAAAGGTTTAACTATTCTCTAACATGTAGTCTCTAAGATTGAATCTTAAGTGCTAGAGGTGTACGTGGCTGTCCTCAAACACAGGACCTCCGCTTTACGTCCTATCATGAGAGAGCATGTACCTTTTTCACAGGTATACAGGTGTTAAGAGCGAATGTCTGTAAGGATCAAACAATGGTGGCACCGGTCAAAAAATAGATTTGGCTCATTTTTTGCACAGTGATAGTACTTAATACATAACCCCTCAGAATAGCTTTCTTTTTGCTCAGAACCCCTTGTTGCCATGGCAACGGGCCAAAGAAGTTTTCAGGGCATTTGTCCAGATTTTGGCATGTACAAAACATAGAAATTGGCTAACTTTAGGGCACTATAACTGATCAGTGCTTTAGCGTAACGACAAGAGCAAGATGTGCTGATCAGAGCAATGCCTAAACTTGTATAAAATAGCAGTAAAGCCAATGTTCAGTAAAATCTGAGGTCTTGGGCACTCTGAATACAATGCACTGTTTTAAGGGTGTAAAAAAACTGAAATTTTGCCCAACTTTGAAGCACTGTAAGTCCCAGAAGGGGAGGATGTTTTGTTTGAAATTTGCACTGCATAATAAACCACTCCAGAGGTATCAGATGCATGCTTGCAAAGTTTGGGTTCTTGTTTCGTTGCTACGCACTTGTCCTTTAAAGTAGGTCAGTTTTCGTTATTTTGATGATATGTCATTTTGTGCCATCTTTGAACTAACATAAGCTCCAAACCAAACTAGTTCTTTACTTGAAATTTACATGAAGTATAAAACAACAAATTGTCTATAAAATGCATGCTTGCAAAGTTTGGGTTCTTGTTTTGCTGCTACGCGCTTGTCCCTGAAAGTGGGACAATTTTCATTAGTTTGATAGTACGTCATTTTGTGCTATCTCTGAACCACCATAAGTTCCAAACCAACATTGGTTTGTACTTACAATTTACGTGAAATATAGAACAATATATTGTCAATGAAGTGCAAGTTTGAGGTCTTGTTTTGTTGCAGTGAAACTGGCCTTGAAACTGGGTATTTTTTTTCAATATGTCATTATGTACTATCAATTTAAAAGTATCATAAGTTGCAAACCAATATTGCCTGCATTTGAAATACAAAATTTAATGCTATGTTGCCCCTTCCTTAGGGGCAACATAGCATGCCATCCAGTTCCTAGACTATAGTGAATCTCCCCTTGGCTCCGTGGTCAGGGCAAGAAACTTGAGAAGTCCTTATCTCTTTCATCTAGAGTTCACGTTAGCTTGATAAAGATGAGATATAAACCTATGTGACATGTCAAAGAGAGGTGACTTATACGAACTTGGGATTGCATTGCTAAAACTGATTTGTGAACACATTGATGTCGATGTATCTTCCATAAGTGATCGCCGTCGGAAAGCGGCCTTTGTAGCAAAACTGAAAGAGTACTTAAGTTCCTGTCCTTGCTCAAAATGAGTACAGTCAACATGTACAGGAATAGCGGAGTTGACTGAAATGCATGTTTTCCACATAGACATAGTTATACAAAGACATGGAGTGATAGACTACATATTAGAAAGATGCGCAGGGATTTATCATATTTATTCAAATATAGAAACAAGTCAAGTCTTCAAGAGTCAATAATGTGGGGACGCTAAATATGACTGTATAAGACTGTTATCATCAAATTAAGATAAAGTAGCATACGTTCAATAACAGCCACATTGCTACAACTATATCATGCAAACGTTGGTGCTAACTATTTCATAAACAACCCAAGGCATAGATCTGTCAAAATTAGAGATAGAAGAATTAAAACCTTTCCTTTTTCATATTAGACTCCCAAAGATAGCCAATATTTTGCATTAGTGGACAAGTGAAGAATATGGCCTACTTTCAGGGACAGGTACAGCCACTAGAACACAGGAATCTGACCTATGCAAACATGCATTTCAAAGACAATATATAGGTTTACATTCAGTGTAAATTTAAATAGCAAAACAATTTACTGTTGAGACTTATGAGAGTCAAAAGATAGGACAAGATGACATGAAAATATGCAAATTGCCCCTTTTTCAGGGACAAGTGCGTAGCAGCAAAACAAGAACCCAGACTTTGCAAGTTCGCATTCCACAGAGTACATATTGTTTTATGTTGTAAATAAATTTCAAGTACAGAACTAGTTTGGTTTGGAACTTATGTCAGTTAAAAATAGCACAAAATGACATATTATCAAAATAATGAAAACTGACCCACTTTAAAGGACAAGTGCGTAGCAACGAAACAAGAACCCAAACTTTGCAAGCATGCATTTCATAGACAATTTGTTGTTTTATATTCTATGTAACTTTCAAGTAAATAACTAGTTTGGTTTGGACCTTATGCTAGGTCAAAGATAGCTCAAAATGACATATCATCAAAATAATGAAAACTGACCCACTTTAAAGGACAAGTGCGTAGCAACGAAACAAGAACCCAAACTTTGCAAGCATGCATTTCATAGACAATTTGTTGTTTTATACTTCATGTAAATTTCAAGTAAAGAACTAGTTTGGTTTGGAGCTTATGTTAGTTCAAAGAAAGCACAAAAT